TCACTGAAACTATAAAATGTCTCTTGGTAATCCAAATGAATTATTCAGAGATTTGTCAAGAGGAAAAAATTAAGAGACATAAACAACTCTGGAGAAGGGGGAATTTTTCCAATAAGTTTGAACAGAAACAATTCACCATATCAACTTTTTCAGCCTTAAGATAAATGATGAATATGACAACATAAATAGTTTTAATTAATATACATTTTTGCTGAATTTTATATTTCTGTGCAATTTAATTTTTTTTAATAAAGGTGATTGGTTAAATATATTGTAACTAAATGTGATTCCCAGTTTATAATTTGTAAGACTTCTCATAGAAATAAATTCATAGATTAAAATCGGTATGAGATCATGTCTGAAATCAAAAACGGCAGCAAGACCTCTATGAATAAGCTCTTTTTTAGAACTATTTTTAACTTCATGTCTGGAGTTATTTTCTTGTCTTTGGAGCCTGATGGTATTTACTTACTTTGGTAAGTTTTAATGCCCAGCTGGGTTGAAAGTTCACCCTTTTGACAGGTGTGTTTCATTAGTTTCTTTGTATGCTTCAGATCGACATGTACCAGTATTTTGGATGCACCGTGGATGCTGCTGAGTGTACTCACTTCTATTATTTCTTTGTGGTCTAGTCTCTCAGGAGCCTCTGGCATTTAAGCTTCAGTTTCCACATTGATGCAATGAGAAATATAGGAATATTTCTTATTGACCTCAATTCAAACTGTGAAAAATATCAGTGACTTTGGAATTGTTTCTGGATAGAGACATGACTTTGGAATAGTTAGTCAATCTTCTGGAGGAGTAGTACTACCGTGTGAGGTATTAACTAGAAAAGTTAACCACCTAGACTCTAACCATATTCTCTTGCATGACTATAATTTAATGTATAATGTCCAGGAAAAAGTAAGTTCCACAAAAATTCTTCCATGTGCCATGGTACATCAAAATATACTTTCTGTGGAATCAGGGGAGAAACTTTCAATAGTTATCAGGCCAAGTAATGCTGGGCTAGGCAGGAAAAGGCAATTTTCTTCCTTTAATATATGTTTATTAGGATGGGAAAAACTGGTTCCATTAGTCAAGTCAATGAGCATTTATTATGCGCTTACTAAGTGCCAGGCACTATGCTAAGCACCATTAGCATTGGTCTCTGCCACCAAATGTAATCCCTTAGATAGGAAGTCTCTTGAGACAGAGGTATCAGGACAAGGCAACCCCACACAAAGTATATTTTCACCCAGTTGCTTTCATTTGCCATGCAGAGACAACAATCACTCATTAATTAAATGATTATTTTCAAAATCCTCATCAGTTAACCAAGAAGCAAAAACAAATCAGTAAGCCCATGTTCAGCCTTGTGAGTAGGTTGTATTACTGTCCTCATCTCTGTTTTCAGTAAAGGAAAGAAAGTGGAATGGTTTATAAATGGTTTCACTTTAGGAAAGAGAAGGGGGATAGTTTTTTTTTTGACATGCATAAGGTTCCCCCTACCCTCCCCCTTTTTAGATGGATATAGAAAGGGAAGATTTCATAGTCTACTCCAATATATGATAATATCCTTCCTCACCCCTTTGTTATAATGCCAAGCTCTGGGACAAACACAGTTATTGTGTTCTTAAATGTTTGTGTCATATGGTTGTGTTCATTACATTGCAGGATAGAGAAAAAGAAAGACACACAGAGAGACATAGATAAATAGATAGATACATAGAGACATAGAGAGGGAGACATAGATGATAAGATAGCAAGGTAGATTGATGGACATAGACATTAGGAGAGAGATAGAGAAATAGGAAGACATAGACCTAGGGTGACAGAGAGACAGATAGAGAGACATAGAGATAGAGATGGATAGAGAGACACACAGAGAGAAATAGAGAGATAGGGAGACAGAGAAAGAAAGATAGATAAGGAGACAGATTTAGATTGGGAGAGATAGTGAGCTAGCTAAAGATAGAAAGAGAGAGGGAAAGATGGAGAGAGAGAGAGAGAGAATGAGAACGTTTACTAAGTGTTTACTATGTGCTAAGGGTTATATAAGTAGTAAAGAACAGAACTGCGGTTAATGTTAATAATAATGTTAATGTTTATAATAATAATAATATTAATGTTAATAATAATGTTAATAAGGAACAGAGCTGGGATTAATCTGATTGGCTCTGTAGTATACTATACTATTGGCTCTATAATGTGCTGCCTCTGCTGTGAACAAAAACTAGTTAATTCTGTCAGCCTTTGTTATAGTCATTTTTTATGACCCACACTGTTCTTCCAGTGTCTCTTTGGGTTACTGCCAAGAACATCGGATTTCTAATCCAAAGACCTAGCTGTTACTATCTGTGAGACCTGGGACAAGTCACCTGACTTTTCTGTATCTTTGTTCCCTCCTCTCTAAAGAGGAGGGTCAGAGTCTAGGGTATCTGAATGCTTTTGGCTCTAAATGACACTTCTACCCACTCTCAGTACTTCTGACCTCAAACTCAACACGTGTAAAATCACCATCGCCGAGAGATTTCCATTCATTGACTTTCCCCTTTCTGACAGAGAAACCACCATTCTTCCAGCATCCTTGGCTGGAAACCTTAAAATCTTAAAACATTTTCCCTTAACCCCTACATTTATCCAAATCTCCTCCGTTCTCATCATCCCAGTGTGTGTTTGATCTTCCTTTCAATTCCTATCACTGCCATCTTAGTCTTGGTTCTCATCACATCCTTCCTGGGTGATAGTAGCCTTCTCATTGGTCTCTCTGCTTCAAGATTGAAAATCATCAAAATTGTTCTTACATGTAATTGGGGAAAAAATGAAAAATCATTTTAAAAGATTGGAAATTACATCAGGAGTAATTTAGTTCAATCTATGCCAAAGGAAAAAAAAATCTCCTCTACAATAGAGGGGTCTTGGGCTGAAGGGCCACAAAACTCAATAAATAAAGATACAATACAACATAGAGAATGTTAATTAGTGGTCTTCTAAGTCAATATGCAGCCCACAGGCATCGTTTTCTGTTTGAGTTTGACACTAGTTCTCTACAACAGAAAAGTCTTCCTATTTAGGTCCCACCTAAAGACCTTAAGTAGCAAGAAATCCACTACCTCCAGGGGCAGCTCATTTCATCTTTATGAGACTCTGCCTGCAAGTTTCACCTCTACATGAAGTTAAATATCTCTCCCTAGCTTCTATACATTACTCTTAGTTTTGCCTTCTAGGGTCAAGAAAAAGACATCTAAGCCCCTTTCTGCATGTCAGCCCATGGATAGCTCTTATACCCTGCCCCTTGCCATCTCTTCTCTGGGCTAGACATCCGTTATTACTTTAATTTATCATTGTATGGCTTGGTCTCCACCATTTTGGTCATCAGCCTTTGGAGAACATGCAGGTAAGGATCCTTCCTAACATGTAGCACCTGGAATTTCACATAATATATACCAGATGTGGTTTTCCTGGGACACAGTCCTGTGCAGGACAATCACCAAGCTCATTCTGGATATCAGGCCTTCTTTAATGCAACCAAGAAGACATTAGCTTTCTCTGTTGATTCGTCCTGAGTGGGTATGACCCTAAGACTTGTAGGTCTTTTTCACATGGACTTTTTGTCCAGTCTTGCCTCTCCCCATCCTGTACTTGTGTAATTGATTCTTTGAATTGAACAAGAGCTGTGCTAGTAATGTTTTACAACCAATTCTTCCCAACCCTGCCACATGAATACAATATCATTAGCATTTCCTCCATCACTAAGTCTAATAGCAATGGTGTCAAACTCAGATAGAAATGGGGGCCAATAAACTATACATGAAGATCCCTGCTGACTTCATATTAGAAAACCACATATTAATTTTATGTGTTCTAGTGTATTTTATTTGTTTTGTTAAATATTTCAGTTAAATTTTAATCTGTTAATTTTAATCCCTTAGGAGTGTGGTTTGACACCTTTGTTCTAAACAATCAACGAAACACAAATCAAACAAAACTCAATCAAAAGCTTGTATCGTAGCATTTGCTATTTTCTGAAGTGTAAAGGCTCACAGTGAATATTTAACACTTATCTCTCAGCAACCTGTCTCCTGCACAGCCCTGCTTTAAACCCAAGTAATTGCATAGTAGGCCATGGTGATACCAGGCAAAACAAGGTGAATGCTGACCTATCAGGGCCCAGAGTCACAACGGTGAGGATCCTCAGTTCTAACAAGGTTTGGAGATGTCTTGGAAGAGAATCCGTATATGATAGATTTCCACCTCAGTGTTCCCCAACTCTCTACACCAATTCCTCACCAAAGTTCTTCTTTCTAACCTTTTCCTAAAATTTGTCCTCCCCAAATCCTCTTCTATATCCTTGGTTATTTGCATAACCCTTCATTCCATCATGTTCTTGACTTTATTTTCTTCTGGATTCTCGATCTGCCAAGAGCCCTCATTTTCTTTCCTTAAGAAAAGAAAAACACTTGTAAGTCCACAAAGTTTCTTTGTCTCTTCCTATATTCCCTTCACCAAGACTCCCTTGCTTTGAAAAGATTACTTGAGTTTAAAAAAAAGATGGTTTCATCTCTTATGATTAACCAGAAAAGAGGAACAGTAGACTTCATAATGAAGATAGTTAAGATCTGAGCTTATTTGCATTTCATAAGAATCAAAAGAATTTTCCAAGTTTTTGAAATTAATTTTTAATTTTTTTTTAAATTTTGGCTAGGCAATGGGGTTAAGTGACTTGCCCAGGGTCACACAGCTAATAAATGTTATATGTCTGAGACCAGGTTTGAACTCAGATCCTCCTGAATCCAGGACCGGTGCTCTATCTACTGCTCCACATAGCTGCCCCTAAAATTAATTTTTAAAAAATCTAGCAAAGTAAGTTTCACTGTTGAATATTGTTGAAACAATTATTGGCAGTCCAGGGAGAGAGTATTGGTTTGGGGAAGGAAAAACACCTCATCTATAAAACAGAAGTGGCTGATAACTTGGTGGTATGCTTCCTGTCCAATAATCCTGTGTTTTCCTTTTAGAAATCTCCCAAGCGAACAGACTAGTGTCTGTGCCCCTGAATGTGAAGGAGACTTTGAGGTACTTTAGAGAAACCTTGGGGAAATCTAAGTACCACAACAGGTCCCTGAGATACAGCAGAAAGTTGCTCACTTTATTTCTGGCCAGCACACAAGGTAAAGTATTCACCAGGGGAATCAGAGTGATCCTCACTGAACCATTAGCTGAGTGTGACTAACATCTTGGTGGTTCCATTGGCCAACCATCCTCCCCTATCTGTCTGTCCCCATCTTGTTTCCCCCTACTTTCCTCTCCCTTCCCAGCTGTCACCTTCTGCATGCCTCTGTCATCTTTGTATCTTCTCTGTCTACCTTCCCTCTTTATCTCTTCCTCCTTCCTTCTTTCTGGTTCCCTCCCTCCTCCTCTCTCTCCTTCTCTCTCTCTTTCTCTTTCTCTCCCTCCTCTTTCTTCCTTCCTCCTCCTCTCCTCCTCTCTCCCTCTCTTTCTCTTTCTCTCCTGCCTCCTCCTGTCTCTCCATATATCATTTCCTCTCTCTTTCTTCTACCTCCTTTCCCTCTTCTCTTTCTCTCTCTTTCCCTCCCTCTTTCTGCTCTTTTCTCTCCTTCTCATTCCCTCCTCCCTCTTTCTTTCTCTCTCCATCCCTACCCCACCTCCTATCTCTTTCCCTCACTGTGTTTCTGATCACTGATCTGCCACTTTTTACCGCTCTGTTTTCAACCATCCATCTATTTGTCCTGTCATTCCTTGCCTGTTCTATTCGCCAAACCCTACACTTTCTTCACCAAACTTTCTCTCCTACAGCATATAGCTGGGTGTATTGCTTAGAGTAGGGCCTCAATCAGTATTCATTGATAGATTAATTTACTGGTTGATTCTGTCTGCCTTCTTTGTCACCCTCAGAGCAAGTAATTGAAAATGAAGTTGCCATTGATGAACTAATAACACTCTGAATCAATTATGTCCTTCCCCCCCCCTTAACTTCCTGAGGAGTTCAGAGTCAGGAAAATGGTTGTGCTTTAAAGTACATGTGTTTTAAATTTTCCTACAAGACCTGAAACAATGATTTGGTGATTTCCTTTTCTTCACAGCAAGGGCTTTGCCTTCAGTGGTTATCTTGGATTTAATAGTTCTTCTTCCTTCCTATAAATGCATAGATCTCTCAAGCCATAGCAAATTAATGAATGAATGAAAAAATATTCATTAAGTGCTTGCTCCATGTCAAGCAGCCAGGATACAAATAGAAAAGCAATCTGTTTCCTGCTCTCAAGGAACTTACATTCTGATGGGAGAGATAATGAATATGGGAGATTTTAGCTGCATGTCATATGGAAAAGCCTCTATGGTCCCTAGACTGCAGCAGCAAAGCAGATTATAATGTATCTTCTTCGTTTCCATTGATAAAACCATAACATATCTGATGCTGAGCCATTCTACGATGCCAAGGATCAGGTGGTGAAAGCTTTTTTTTTTTCTTCAGTTCTTCAGTGAGCAGTGGACGGAGCACTGGGAAATTGTTATTATTGTTCAGTTGTTCAGTCATGTCCAGCTCTTCATGACCCCATGGACCATAGCACAGCAGACCCTCCTGTCCTCCACTCTCTCTTGAAATCTGTCCAAGTTCATGTTCATTGTTTCCATGACACCATCTATCCACCTCATCTTCTGCTATCCCTTTTCCTTTTGCCTTCAGTCTTTCCCAGCATCAAGGTCTTTTCCAACAAGTCCTGTCTTCTCATTATGTGGCCAAAGTATTTAAGCTTCAGCTTTGGTATTTTAACGTCCAGTGAATAACCTGAATTAATTTCTTTAAGTATTGACTGTGATCTCCTTACTGTCCAAGGGACTCTCAAAAGTCTTCTCCAGCACCAAAATTTCTGTGGCGATAACTTTCATTATAGTCCAACTCTCACAGCAATACACTGCTGCTGGGAAAAAACCATAGCTTTGACTGTATAGACCTTTGTTGGCAAGGTGATATGTCTGCTTTTTAGTCTGCTGTCCAGATTTGCCATAGCTTTCCTTCCAAGGAGCAAGTGTCTTTTAATTTCATGGCTGAAGTTGCCATCTTCAGTGAAATTTGAATCCAAAAATATAAAATCTGACATTGGTTCCATTTCTTTTCCCTCTATTTGCCAGGAATTTGTGGGACCGGTTGCCAAGATCTTAGCTTTTTTGAGGTTGAGCTTTGACAGCATTTACTCTCTCCTCTTTCACACTCATCGAGAAGTTTCTTAATTCTTTACTTTCTGCCACCAGAATGGTATTGTCTGAATATCTGAGATTGTTGATGGGGGTGGAGTCAGGAAGACCTGAGTGCAAAATCTAGGGTTTGCTTCAGTTTCCTCATCTGTAAAATGGTGATAATAATAGCACCTACCTCCCAGGGTTGTTGTGAGGATCAAATAAGAAAATATTTGTAAAAAGTGGTCCATAGTAGGTGCTGTATACATATCAGCTATTATTATCATTACTATTATTATGAGGATTAAATGAGATAATGATTGTAAAGCACTTAGCACAGCGCCTGGCCCCTAGTCAGTGCCATATAAATGTTAGCTGTTGATGCTGCCACTACTGCTATTGCTGTTGCTACTGTGGCTGCTACTGCTACTTGCTGCTATTATTATTATTATCATTCATTGGCTGTAGCTGCTGAGGAAGTGTGAGCACCTTCAGAGAGGTGCCGGATTGCTCTGCTCTGTAAGGCCTGTCAGTGCTGCATTGAAAGCAGGAACAAACGGTTTGGGGGGGCACTACTCTTTGCTAGTATCTTGGGCTCTAGACATGCATCAAATGCAACTCCTCCAAGTTCTGGGGTCTTGTCCGATATGCACTAAAGGGAGATGCGGGGGGCCAGAATTCCCTGATTCTTTCCAGCACTATTGACAGGCTGCTCCCAGGTATGATTATGGTTTCATTTGGGGAGCCTGCTTTCTCTGTGACTCCAGAGGTCAGACCTCAGATCCCAGGCTTACAACAAACACCTGATTTCCATGCCATTTAATTTAAATAAGCATATTTTGTTATTAAAATGAGGAGACGTGGATCACTTTCAACTCAACTACAAGTTGAATAGATTTCTTCAGAGCAACTCTTGAAAATAAATAAATTTCCCTTGTGAAGATCAATACATTTCTTCATTAATTTTTAAGTTGGCTGATGGCTTATGAATCTAATAAGGGTAGGAAATTTTAGTATCCACCAGATGTTTGTTATGACCTCTGACCCTGTTTGCTTATCTGTGGTCAGTTCCTTAATGACCAACAGTGGTCCGTAGTATGACTGCTCTGGCCTGTGATTTCACACTATAGGTCCATTTGTCCATATGGAATTGACCTCTATAGCTTTTCCAGCAAAAATCCAGGGGACTCTTGCAGAGAGGAAATCTCCTCAACTACTAATAAATCTCCAACACTGTTTTCCATGTCATGGCCATTGTCATAAAGTCAGTGTCCCTTTCTGCAGCATATTTTGTGTGCCTACCTATTGGACACAATAAAAATCATTCATTTTACCTTGTCCTAGACTTAATATCAAGGCAGAAGCTCGAAGCAATTTTCCAGGTTTTCAGGCCAAAAACCCAAGACAAATGTTGAGTTGATTTGAGAAGAGTTTGGAGTTACTTGGTCGGTTGTCATAGATTGTTACTGCATTTGTCTCTCCAAAGCGTGGCCTGTTTTTGTAGGTGGCATGGTAGAGGAATTGGAACTGGTTGGTTTCAATTTTTATATTAGCACAAAGCTAACAGTCATTTATGAGTCATGTTGCTTGTCACTTTTCCCCCATCTGACCAGTGATTTATTTGGAATAGGGAACTCCTATACCAATTTAGGTCAGCTCCTTCTCTGCAATTTGTAGGCTCAAGACAGTGGCTTAGTACATTGTGTGGTGACTTGTCTAATGGTCAAACAACCATTATTTGTCAGAGACAGAACCTGAACCCAGGCCTTCCTGATGCTAAGGTTGGCTTTCTGTCCACCTAGCTTCCTGCTTCTCATCCTGGCCCTTACAGGGCTGTCATTACCAGAGTTTCATTCTAATCCCTACAGTATCAGAAGAGTGCCATCAGGTAGACATAGAACCTGATATTCAAGATGGTGGGTTTTCATTCTAAGCCTAAACCACAGATTCATAATCAACTGATTTTCATGCCTTTCAATGTACAAAAATATCTCACCATTGAAAGCAAATTCACATCATCTTCAGTTCAACTATTAATTAAGAAATTTTGAAAAAAAATTAAATTCCCAATATATAGGTATGTAACTTTCTTCACCATTTTTTTTGGTCTCTTTAGGAGCTAATTTGTGCTCTGAATATTGTTGCCAAAACCCCTCCAATAATTTATCCTCAAATTTCAGGCTTGGGACTTTTCCATTAGCCCATCATATAATGGCCAGAGCACCATATCTAGAATCAGGAGACCAAGGCCTGAATCCAAAGTCTTCTGGTTAGCTGCCTCTATGACATTGGGCAGATCATTTACCCTTCAGCCTCAGTTTTTTGACTCCCAAGTCAGGGGTGGGGAGACGTGACTGATCTTGGTGGTCCCCTTCAGCTTTCAGTTCTAAATCCTATGATCACTTTATGAACCTTCATTAACTACTTTCTCAGCTGCTTTTTGCTTATTTCTCTTAAATGACTTTTTCCTTTCTTGTCCCATTTTTTTCATGAGAGCTAAATCTCTCCACCTCTTTTTCCAATCTTTATCTCCACCTCCCTCTATCTATCTTTTATTCCCAGAGCTTCTGCAAGGTATTTCTTGCTCCTTTTTATCTTCACACATCAAGGCAACAAGCTTTGATTAAGCATTTACTGTGTGTATGGCTCTGTGCTAATAAGCCCTGGGGAATCCAAATGGAAGGCAAAAACAAAGAACAAGGTCATATCTGCTAAGTAGCTCATAGTCTAATGAGGAAGACAATATGCAAACAGCTATAAACACACAGGATAAATACAGGGTGAATTGGAGGTAATCTTACAGGGAAGGTGAGAAGCACTGTGGGTCTGCTTTAATCTAAAATGCTTATTGATCATTTAGAAGATTGGTTTCCTATCAACTGGCCATTTGAATGAACAAATGGATGAATGAATGAATTAATGAAAAAAACATTTAAGTACCTATATGTGCTAAGGTAGTGCAGTAGATAGATCAGTGAGCTTAGAATCAGGAAGACTTATCTTCCTGAGCTCAAATCTGGCCTTAGACACTTACTAGCTGTGTGTCTCTGAGCAAGTCATTTCACCCGTTTACTGCCTCAGTTTCCTTATTTGTAAAATGAACTGGAGAAGGAAATAGCAAACTACTCCAGTATCTTTGTCAAGAAAACCCCAAATGGAGTCACCAAGAGTTGGACTCTATTAGAAAAATGGCAGAACTGAGCTGATGTGCAAATCACTGTGTCAAGTCATAGGGATACAAACAGAAAAATAAATTTGGTTGGAGTTACTAGTACTTTTACAAGGTTGCTATTGGGAGCTGGTATTGCTTGAAAATGTTTGTAAGAACTCTGCTGTTGAGTATTTTGTCTCCTTTCAAACTATCTGAGAGAAAAGATTTAACATTATAGCATATCTAACAAGAAAGCAGCAGATTGATCACCAATGCAAGCAAAAATGTTCTTTTATTCACCCCTCCCCATTTAGAAAGCAGTGGTGGAATAAATAATCCCAAGTATTTTTATGGAAAAGTGGAATTTAGCCTTGGAGCCGAAGAGATGTATTTGCCAACACCCCCTGATCTTTCCAGTGAAAAGTTCACTATTTCTACTACAGTGGAGAGCAAGAAACTTCCTCCTTCCCAGTTTCAACTTGTTATAGCTTCTTACAAGAAAACTATTGGTAAGACTTCACCAAGACCCATTTTTGTTGTTGTTGGCTTGTTTGTTACTCAGTTGTTTCAGTCATGTTTGACTCTTCGTGCCGCCATTTGGGGTTTTCTTGGCAAAGATCCTAGAGTGGTTTACCATTTCCTTCTCCAGCTCATTCTACAGACGAGGAAACTGAGGCAGCAAACAGGGTGAAGTGACTTGCCCGGGGTCACCCAGCTAGTGAAGTGAGTATCTGAGACTAGATTGGAGCTCGGGTTCAAATTTGGATTTGATCCAGGGTTGGTGCTATCTACTGTGCCACCTAGCTGCCCCCAAGACACATTTACTGACTGTCAAATTTCATCTCACCTTTGAAAGACATTTTATATATTGTGAAATGCCAATAAATTGAAGCAGTTTGGAAACCTTATGGGCATGGGGGACTGGTTCCTGAATTCATCTATTGGGAAAACAAATATAATTCCAGATAGTTTTGAAATCCTTGTGTAGGCAGCCAGCTGGTACTGTGGATAGAGCACTGGGTCTGGAGTCAGGAACACCTGAATTTAAATGTAATCTCAGACACGTAACAACTGCGAGACCTTGGGCAAGTCTTCTGACTCTAGCCTGCCTCACTTTTCTCATCTTTAAAACGGGAATAATAATAGCTCCTACCTCCCAGTTGTTGTAGAATAAAATATCTATAAAGTGCTTGGCAAACCTTAAAATGCTATACATATGTATGTGTATATACATACATATTCATATAGAAATATATATAATACATACATATGTGTATACAAACACACACATATGTACACACACTAGCTATTACTATTAGCTCTTATTGGAAGCCTGGTTTGCCTCTGTTCTGATGCATTCCTATTGAGTATGAGTTTCTTCTTAGCAAAGGAAGTAAATGGGTGTACATTAACCAGCCCTGCATCACCAGGGTGGGTTTAAGCCAATGGTGGTAGAATGGTCCTCTTATATCTCCCTCCCCACATTCTCCATCCCATATTTAGGGCTTCTAGGAGTTGCTGTTCCATGGGCATACACCACTAAAGAAGAAACATTTGAGAAGCGTAGACAGCAGCCATATATAACTGGCTAGTGGCCCCTCAGTACTCACTCTGCTCTGGGGAACAGTGTCTTTGTCTGTATTATGAGGGGCTTTGGTCTATAGCTCTAGGGACCCCCGACCATAGCCTAGCGCTTTTCTCTCAATCTAGCTACAAGCCTACAGCAGAGGAGTAGAGGAATCTGGGAGGTGAGAAGAAGGAAAATTTGGTTTTGTTTCAGTTAGCTATAAATAACACTCCCCAAAATCAAGAGAAATGGGCCTAAACACTTATCAAGGTCAACTATTTAGCAATAAAGAGATAATGAATCTTCCAGTTGTCATAATAGATAAAGGAATTTTAAAGACTTTTCAAAAATACTCTTTTGTTTCTCTCTTTTTCTTTTTTTGGTGAGGCGATTGAGGTTAAGTGACTTTCCTAGGGTCACACAGCTAGTAAGTGTTAAGTGTCTGAGGCTGGCTGGATTTGAACTCAGGTCCTCCTGACTCCAAGGCCAGAACTCTATTCGTTGCACCATCTAACTGCCCTTTCAAAAATATTCTTGCATAACAATTTGGAGTCAGTTATCTTTCAGGCACTGACATCTGTCTTTTGTTTTGGAAAAAAAAACCCAGATACTCTTGAAATCAACAATCAAACAGATCTCAAGATACAAGCACTACATGAGCTTGGAAATCTTCACATCTATGCAGAAAACAGAAGGTGAATTTTGGGGAAGGAGAAGAGTTGCTAGAATATAGGAAAACCTTTAAAAAAACAATTGGCAAGTTATTTTAATTAATGTGAACATTTCTGTTGTTGATGCATTTCCATGATCTTTGTTGATATATTATTGCATATTGTGAGCGCCTTCCTTTGGAAACACCCTCTCCCAGCACTGGCATTAGGATGTGGAAGGCACTTGAGAAATGCCTCTGGAGCAACTGATTTTCCCTTTTTCAAATGGAAGTGGAATCATCCTTTTATCCAAATACTCCTTAAGATATTGATTGTATATTATAAATATCAATTATATTTATAAATATATAAATTATAAATATTAATAAAATATCATCAGAATCGGTCCAAACATGTATTTACTTTCTTAATTAAAAGTAGGTATGTGATGATAAGAGAAACAATTCCAGCTCCCTATGTACAGGAAAGTGGTTTGTTTCTGATTTTTTTTTTAACATTTCAGGGAAGCTTATAAATGCTGGAGCCAAGCCCTGGATGCCATTCTCAAAAAAACAGATGTTCTCCATACGTGGAAAGAACTGGCCAACCCCCCCCAAAAACCTCTTGACGTTGTCATGAGTTCAAACTTCACTGATTATAGTGAGGAATTTCTGTCAAAAGCTGGTGTTTGGGGATGCTTGCAGGGAGGAGTCATAGCCTCAAAAATAGCACAGTAAGTAGGAGGAGTAATCACCCTTTATTTTCTCCTAAAAAGCCAACCAGTCAACAACTCAATTCCTTGTTTCTGTGAAAGTAAATATCTCTTGCACTAGAGACCCTGTCTTGCTTCTTCTCGAAGCCTCAGAAGTTCTCTCCTTCATGGAAGCGTTCCATCTGCACGGGTATCTGCGGGACCATTTATTTTGATGATCGCTTGAGAGAAAGAGAATGTGGCCAGAAACCTGACCTCTAGCCAGAAGTGAACCTCGCTCTCCTGTCTGCTTTCGTTGTGAAGATGCTTGGCCCAGTGGATAGAGCCCTGGACCTGGAGTCAAGAAGGCCTGGGCTGAAATCCGACCTCAAATACTTACTAGCTGGGTGACACCAGGCAAATCTGCCTCATCTTCCCTGTTTGTAATAGGGGGATAATAAGAACCCCTAATTCCCAGGGTTGTTGTGAGGATGAAATGAGATACTGTTTGTAAAGCGCTTTGCAAACCTTAAAGCATTACAGAAATATTATCTGTTGTCTGTATTATTATTCCAAGTATCCACCTACAGAAAACAAGCTAACAGAGTTTGGGATGGAAAAAAAGAAAATAATTATTAGCTAGGAATATTATGATCATCATCATTCTTTTTTATCTTATTTTATTTTTTTTTGGCGAGGCAATCGGGGTTAAATCACTTGCCCAGGGTCACATAGCTAATAAGTGTCCAATGTCTGAGGCTGGATTTGAACTCGGGTCCTCCTGACTCCAAGGCCGGTGCTCTATCCACTGCACCACCTAGCTGCCCCCACCCAATCATCATTCTTAAGACATGGATAAATCTCACCTACTGAAGGCTTGGAATGGCAGCAGGTACTTCAACAAGAGGTGTATCACTCACTTGTTTCCTGGAATTGGGCACGGTTCAAACAGTCAGTCAAGTCAGGGGGCTTGAGATAGAGTGCTTTGGCCTACTCATCCTACATCCAGAAATGGTCGACTCTACTTGTTGATGATCATAATGTAGTCTACCAATGCCTAAAACAGTGAATGTTTCATAAATATTGACTTTAATTTGGTTGTTAAAAAAAAACAAACCACCTCAAAACTGAACAGTTGTTTGAGTAGAATGAAACCTGAGTTTCCATCCTGCCTCTGATACTTACCACCTGTTTGATTTTAGGGAAGTTCCATCCCCTGTGCCTCAGTTTCCTCCTCTGTAAAGTGAAACAGTTGGAGTCTGTGCTGCCTTCCAGCTCAAAATCAGTGAACCTATATGGATGTAGAGTGTCCTAGGGCCGGCATTCAAATTCTGGCCTTGCCACTTCTACTCATGTGTCCTTGCACATACAGCCACTCCGAGGCCCCTTTCAGCTCTAATTCTGTGGCCTCTGGGACCTCTCTGGGTCTCAGTTTCCTCATCTGTAAGATGAGGGTTGGAACTGGGTGGCTAGTGATGGCTAGCGATAGGAACCTCTGCCGCAGAATTTCCCATCATCTTTTAATATAGCTTTAGCTTCTTGGAGGAACAGAAGATGAAAGAAGGATGCCTCTGTGACCTAAGGGTGAAGTGGTGACAGATCCATAATATCCTGAGCCCAAAGAGAGATTACGAAGAAAATTTATGGAAGTGCAAATCAGGATTCTCCCTTGGCCTTCTGTCACCCACATCTGTTTACTCATCTATAATAAGTGGCACTTTAATGTATTCAGAAAATTCATGAATTATTGTTGGCAAAAGAATCAGATTAAAAATGTAATGTAATTTGCCACGTTATTATTTATTGGGAGCCTGATTTGGTTCATTTATTTATTTATTTATTTATGTTTGCTCTTCTAATAAAAGGCCTTTCATGAGTTATGTGGGAGAGTCCAAGAGGAGGAGTACATTCCTCCATCTGTAAACAGGCTGTGGTGTGGACTTTGACTATGGTGCACACCAGTTGGCTTCCTGGCCCCACGCAGGCCTGCTTGAATGCGGGCAAGAGAAAGGGGCAGGAAGGCAGATGGGGTGATAGGTCAGCTACAGCAGTAAGCCAGCTTCCTGCAGCCAGCCAGGGCTCCACCTCTTGATTTTAGGAGCGTAGAAAAGCTGTTTTGGTCACACTCTTGAAAATCTGGTTCTAACAGCATGTGTCTATAGTCCATACTTCTCTCTACATCATCACCTACTACTACCTCTTCAGCCCCCTGCATTGTGGTTTATTCACCACCAGTCTACTAATACTTCTCTCTCCAAGGTCACCAGTGGTCTCCTGTTCCCTAAGTAGGACAGCTCTGCCCTGGTCCTCATCCTGCTTAATCTCAGAGCAGGTGACCATATCCTTCTGTTGAATGCTCTCTTCCCATTTGGCTTCAGAAATACCACGCACTCCTGGTTCTATTTCTGCCTGTGTACTTGTTCCATCTCTGTAAGCGCTCGATAAATACTTTACTCCTCTCCCTCCCTTCCTTCCTCCTTTACTCCCTCCCTTCCTTCTTTTCTTCCTTCCTCCTTCCCTCTCTCCCTCTCTCTTTCCTTCCTTCCTTCCTTCCTTCCTTCCTTCCTTCCTTCCTTCCTTCCTTCCTTCCTTCCTTCCTTCCTTCCTTCCTTCCTTCCTTCCTTCCTTCCTTCCTTCCTTCCTTCCTTCCTTCCCTCTTTCCTTTTTCCCTGTTCCTCATCCTCTTCCCTAATCTTTAGGGTAAATTTTTCCACTGTTAACTCTTTGGCCATTATTTCTCTTATCTCTCTATACTATATGACTGGGAAATAGTTTTACTTCCATGACTTTTACTCTTCTCTGCAGATGACTCCCAAATCTCCAGCCTTGACCTCTCTTTAGAGTTCTGAATGGTCATTTTCCACCCATTATCAAGCTTCTTTGTTGGGAGGCCTCACTGGTAACTTAAACACGAGTGTCCAAAATGGAGCCTTCCCCTAATCCTGCCCTTCTTCTTTTCATCACAACTTCTGTCAGTACCCCTCTTTCTCTCTCTCTTTCTCTCTCTCTCTATCTCTGTCTCTGTTTCTGATTCTATCTTTGTCTCTCTGTCTATCTTTTTGTCTCTCTCTGCCTCTCTGCTTCTATCTCTTTGTTTCTGTCTGTCTCTCTTTCTCACTGTCTCCCCTCTCTCATATCAGAGCAGTTCCAGGGTCCTCTTTTCTATTCTCACTATTACTACTCTGGTGCAAGACCTCATCACTGCCTGCCTTGGCTATCCTGCCTTCACCCTGCTCCTCCCACCCCACCCTAGGCCCTTCTAATCTTTCCTTCATTCCGCTGGCAGAAAAAATTTCCTTATGCATACGTCTGCTCACGTTACTCCTCTGCTCAAAATTCTTCAGTGGCTCCCTGTTGCCTCCCAAGTAGACTTAAAACTTCAGTGAGACACAACTGAAATGACTAAACAACAGTAACTATTTCCCAGGGTTGCTATGAGAATCAAAGATTTACTATTTGTAAAATTAAAAAGTACTTAACACAGTGCCTGGCATATAGTAGGTGCTTAACAAATGATCTTTTCCTTCCCCTCCTCAGCATCAAAGTAGGTAAGGGAAGAAAACTCCTCTCTTCCATAGAGGAAGGGCAAATAATCTCACCTTTTGAGTTCTTTGGGAATAAACAGAGCATAGTAATTTGTTATTCAATAAAACTAGTTCATTTCATCTGTCAGAAACTTCGTAAAATTCTTGGTGTATTTGAAGACTACTGTAATTATATTTGTTGTTGATTTATTTCAGTTGTGTCCAACTCTTTGTGATCCAATTTTAGGGTCAATTTCTTGGCAGAGATACTGGACTGTTTTACCATTTCCTTCTCCAGCTCATTTTACAGATGAGGAAACTGAGGCAAACAGGGTTAAGTGACTTGCCTAGGGTCACACAGTTAGTAAGTGTTTGAGGCTGGATTTGAACTCAGGAAGATGAGTCTTCCTGATTCCAAACCCAGTGCTCTATCCAGTGTGCCACCTGTGTAATTAGATAGTCCTGTGTAATTAGTTTTTTCAAAATATTTTTGAAAAATTGCTTGCCAATCAAATAATTTCTCTTTGTTGTAATTTTTTTTTCAGATACATTTTGACATCAAATGTGAGTGAGCAGACTGAATGCTGCATTTTCTCTTCCTATTTTTTTAAGGTAACTATTAATAATTTTATATAATAACACAGCCGATTAATTACTTAACAAATCCCATTGCCTAAAAATTGTGGGTGAGAGGAGGGAGGAAGCTGTGATTAGAAATACAGTTATCCTTCCACATTGTGGGTTTAGGGGAGCAGTGTCCCCACAATCTGGAAAATCCACGTAAAATGTTTTGGCCCTTCCTTTGTACCAGAGAAGAAGTCTGATTTTTTTTTCTTTTTCTTTATGGGGCATTTACCATACCTTCTTGTAAAATCTGGGCTAAGTATTTGGTCATAGGCTCTGTGTCATCTGCTGACCTTCACTCGTCATCTGTGGTTTCTGCAAAACTCCCCCCAAATTCTCATTTAATTTCTTATGCCGACCTGTGATATATAGTGAAACTACCATGGGGAAAGTCACAGTATGGAAGGGATTAACTATAAGGAGCCTGTATTCACTCTGCTGGCTGACCCTTCTTCTGTTCAGCTCCTTTTGGACTTACTCTCAGCATCTCCATCAATATTAAGAAACCTGAGAAAGTCAAAGGGCATCAATTGTGACTCCTAAGGAAGGATTCACTAATAGGGTGAATGATTCTTTTGCCATTACAGATGAGGAAACTGAGGCAAACAGGGTTGAGTGACTCACTCAGGGTCATGTAGCTAGTGTCTGAGGTCACATTTGAACTCAGTTCTTCCTGACTCCAGGCCCCACGTTCTATCCACTAAGCCACCTAGCTGCCCTTAAGAATGCAGAGAAAACATTAAGTAGTATGAAGAGAGGCTTCCACAAATGTCTTGCTTGCATGGAGGTGATGCTGGGCTCTTGAAGGCTTTGCCAGCTGAGTGAGCACACAGGCTAATTCTACCAATGTGAAAGTCTTTAGAAGTGGTCCTGGTGGCAAGTAGTAGGCCTGGTATCCAGGGGCCAGCCTGGCTAAGTGTGAAGAGGCTCATTACTCGGTAGTTGGCTACAAAGTGATGACCTTTATGGCCTTGGGGGCCTATGAAACAGACAAGAATATGGCCTTTAGTCCTGGCCAAACTTGTGTGCTCTTACTATGTGCCTATCACATAGCATATAGTAAGTGTTTTATTGATTGTTGACTTTTAGTAAGGCAAAGCAGAAAGTTAAGTTCTGTGGTAAATGGGTTTGCTGAATGATTTTTCTGATAATGAACCACTGTTATAAATGGTGTAATGGTAAGGTGAGAATGGAGAGGTGAGACAGTTGTGTGGTTAAGAGACTTATCACTGCCTCAGTACCCCAATATCACTAAATGAGCCTGAGAGAGGTCTCCATCGTGTTGAGCACAGCTGAGCACCTCCATTATTGGTCTTCTCTGGAGGATGAAAAGGCATGGACGGAAATTACACAGGAGGAAAAGACACGGAGGGATTGTAATCTGTGTCAGAAGAGCAAGTAACCACACTGTTCTAATCCCCACCCCACAAAAATATCAAAGGGAAAATAGGAAGAAATGTAGTTGAAAGAGGCCTAGACTGGGCCTTTGGAGACCTGAGGTCTATCCTGACTATTCAGTGTTCTCTTGGGGCCTTGAGTTTTCTCGTTTACAAAATGGGAGGTTTAGGTTTAGATAACCGTCCAGCCCAAAAGTCCATGTTCAGATGCTAATGAATCTCTTTGAACTTTGGCTGGTGCTCAAAGGACGGCTGTGTCTATTGCCAGACCTGACAAGTTTTCAGAGTGGCCCTCCACTGGCAAGTTCAGGGCCAGATCCCTACCTGCCACGGTGAGATATTGGACAGCCTTATCTTAATGGCAGGTGTGTTTCAATAAGTTCAAGATTTTTATTTATTTATTTATTCTTTTTTTGTTTGTTTGTTTTTGCTAGGCAATGGGGTTAAGTGACTTGACTAGGGTTACACAGCTAGTGAGTGTTGTGTGTCTGAGGCCAGATTTGAACTCAGATCCTCTTGACAGCAGGGCCTGTGCTCTATCCACTGCACCACCTAGCTGCCCTAAGATTTTTATTTTTAATGTGCAGAAGAAAACAAAAATGGAAACAAGGAATGCTTAACAGATACAGCAATTTGATTACTTACACACACACACACACACACACACACAAACACATATTTCTTTGAATAATATTTTATTTTTTCCCAGTTACATGTAAACACAATTTTTAATATTCATTTTTTAAAAATTTGAGTTCTAAAATCTCTCTGTCCATCTTTTCCCTCTCCCTTCCCTGAGATGGTAATTTGATTAGATTATATGCACACATATCTACTTAAAAATAAACCCTATAGAATGGAAGATCAAATTTATTCTGTAGTTTTTTGAAAAAGTATTTGTTTATTGAAATGTTGGAGTCTGATCATTTTTAAGTTCACAATAAAAAAGAAAATTAATTTTTTTTTTAAAAGAATAGGGAAAATGGTTTTTTTTCCCTCCTCTTGAAAAATTAGAGCTAGGGTTGCACTGATATTAGCAGGCTAAATATTCCCTCTCAAAGGCATAAAATGATAGGAAACAAGTTTTCACTTTAAATTACTGTAAATTAAGTTGGGAAGTAGGATTTGAAAGAATAGGCTGAAATTCATTGAAAGTTAATGGGGGGCGGGGGAAAGGCTGTCGCAAAAGTCTTAGTGCAATTTAAAACTTAAGACCTTTGGGAAACCTTGTAAAAGACGCATGGGGCAATCTGTCTATTTAGAGAAGTGGACTTTGTTCAGGGAACGCTGGGAGCTATATACTAGATGTTGGAGCTCTCTGATAGAATCTCAGTGTTGGGGTATCAGAAGAGTTCCTTGGGCATCATACTGGTCTCTTCTGACGGTTCTCCTTTCCTTTTTTCTCGTCCTGATCAGGATTATTTGTGTTCATGTTGTCTAAATGTCATTCCTGACTGCATATTGTAGTCCTTGGGCCCATTGCTTCAGTAGCCATGGGATCTGGGCAGCTTCATCTCCAAAAATAAAGTTGGACTGCCTCAGTGACCTGGTGTACCTCATGTAAGGGAAAGAAGAAGCCAGTTGGACTATCCCTATGTGGAATTCTTTGCCCTTCTCAGGTTTTTGACTCCTTGATTTGCTGATAAAAAGACTTTTATCTGAATTAGAAAAAAAGAGTTTTTAAAAATTTTTATTTATTTATTCGTTTATCTATCTATCCATTTATTTATTCATTTATTTATTTGTTTATTTATTTATTTATTTACTTGTCTATTTACTCATTTATTTATCTGTTTATTTATTTACTTATTTTTTTGCCTGGAGATGTAGCCACAAGTCTTGCTTCAAAGGAGGGGCGGAAGAGAGGAGGAGGCTGCGCTAGGAATGAGAAGCTTTGCTGGACCCCTCACTTGCTTGAGCTGCTCTTCTCGTGCTTTTTTCTCTTTCATCTTCTTTGTTTCTTGAGCATAGGGAGTGTGATCTTGGATATGGAATTACTCCTTCTGGAAAAATAATAAAATTTGATTTACAATAGTTTCACTGATGTACTTTGAAAGCTGTTTAATTTTCTCTTTTCTCTTTTTTCTTTCCAGGCTCTATTTAGAACGTCTCTAACACATCCCAGACATGACCATGAGTATGCCCAGTATGAAATTGGCCAGCTTACTCCAGGCCTGGATCTCTTCTGTGACCGACACAGAGCGGATGTGACCATTGTCCTCGGCAGTCTCATTTACCTCATTTATGAGCTCCATTCTGTTAACCACAATCTTATCGTAAGTCAAGTATAAAATTTTAAAACAACAACATGTTACAGCAATCTTGCCACTTCTCACTCATTTATCCGTCTCTCCTATAACCTTATTGGAATTCCTTTTGGCCAAGTGTGGCCTTTGAGGATTATGAAAAGGAGATCCCCATGTGCCCTTTTAAGTTGGTTTATATTTAAAGATATTAATATTCTTGCATGAGGTAACCTCTGATATTCTCTCTGAATACAAGATAAGTCTTTTCCAGCTTGCATTGATCTGGCTTTCCTTGCTGTCCTAATGTCAGTCCTTCTGGGATCAAGGCCACATCATACAGCTCCATGCCCGGGGTGGGGCACAGGCCCCCCCCCCTTCTTATTCCTTTGGCATCAATGGTCCATCCAGGCTTGCGAGTACTTGGCAGGGGGAGCTGAGCACCATAGTTCCATCATTTGCATCACTTGGCTGTTCCACCAGCTAATGAACACCCAAGTGGGCTGGGGACAGCTGACTGTGAAACATAATGAGAACAGTTATTTGGGTTCCGGAGAGGCCTCCAGCAAAGTCACAACTTATTCGGTTGTGTGTGCTGGGGGAAGGGACAGGAAAAGACAGATGAAAGCTCGGTCCAAGTCTGCTGGTGCTCTCAAGCAACATTGGACATCTGAAGACCCCAGCTGAGGGTGGGCAATGCAGATGTGCTTCCTTATTCTCTTCCTGCAGAGTAAGCACAAAGGGGGCCCTTCAGAAAGCCCCTCCCCCTTCTTTGTTTGTCTTGTGCTGGTACGAGCCCCTCCTTTACTGCATGCCCTAGTACCTTGGTAGTAATCCTTGCTGACCAACTTACATATCTTCCTCCTTTTCCTTGTGTCATCTTTCCTAGTTGGATTCTTTCCTCATCTCTTTATGACCGCTTTCTCCTAGATCTTCTCCTTTGAGTACTACTCTCTTCTACTGGGTTCAAATCCCACTTCAGACACTTAATAGCTGTCTAATCCTGGACAAATCACTTCACTCTACTCTGCCTCAGTTTCCTTACCGGTAGAAGTGGGGACAATAAGAGACCCTATCTCCCAGGGTTGTTGTGATGATGAAGTCAGATACTACTTGTAAAGAGTTTAGCAAACGTTAAGGCTGTGTTTAAATGCTGGTTATTATTGCTGATTCTACAGTGGCCCCATGGTGGCTTCTGACTCAGACCCCTTTTCAAGCCCCGATATAATGACACTGATATAATGACAGCACAGACATAGTGAGTAAATTAGATAAAGACACATTGAATGGCTAAGTCATTTCTGACATCAAAACAGAAAAAAGTACCAGGATTTTTCCTGTTTGCTCCATTGGGAGCTCTTAGCAGAAAGTAATCTCCACCACCACCACCACCACCACCACCATCATCATCATTATCATTATCATTAATAACAACAATAATTTTCTTTGTTCCTCTGTTTCAGGATGTACTTTTTTTTAGCTGTCTAGATATCTTTGCTTCTTTCCGGACATGACTTGGTTATCAGTACATTTTCATTTTGAAGACATTTTTTACTCATTTCAAAAGCAAAGCTGACGCTTTTCTCAGATGCATGAGAAATTGAGAGGGCTGCCTCAAAATGGATCTTGGAGAGACAAAAAAGGACATTTTTATTTCTTCCTGATGGTTACCATGGAGAAGTGGTGCCATCATCCACAATTATTTCAAAACTTATATTACCGTAGGCTCCAAATAAGTTCCTGATCATCTAGGGAGAGTTTTTAGTTTCTTTAAAAATAAAACAAAACAAAATGACAAAACAGCTGTTGTCAGCAGCAGAGAGGCAGCTATTGCCAAAGATCCATGAAGCCAGATTATGGGATTTAAAGGGTCGGGGATTCCAGAGACCCCCTAGTCCAGTGATGAGACCCAGAGACTTCATGTGGCTTGTTTAGGGTAACACCAGTAATAAGTAACAGAGTCAGAATTTGAACCCAGACCTATTCTCTCCAAATCCACTCTTCTTTCTACTATTCCATACTGCCTTGCTCTGACAATTTTTGTTTGTTTGCTTGGTTTTTTTTTTTTGTGAGGTAGGCAATTGGGGTTAAGTGACTTGCCCAGGGTCACACCAAGTGTCTGAGACTGGATTTTGGCTCAGGTCCACCTGACTTCAGAGCCAGCGCTCTATCCACTGTGCCACCTAGCTGTCCCCTATGACAATTTTATTTTTTTTAAGTGTCCTGAGGAAGAAGAAGGAAAGAAAGCTAGATTATTCTTATCCTAGGTCAGCAGCCATAGCACTAACAGCCGTGGAAAGATCAGAGACCTATGGTTCCATCTAATACTCATATTGCTGTACTTTGGGTAAGGGCCGTGGAACCAGGGCCAAAAGGAGGCTGACAGAGACATCATGTCTCACCTTGGAGTTGTGGTTTTGAGGCAAAATCAAAGGGAAAAGAGGCTGCCCTCTCAACATTTGTTTCTGGCATGACCAGCCTCAAATTTCTTTTCTGTGCTCTTCAGAGCTCAAAGGTTGGGACCTTAGAGGTCATTTAGGCCAAACCCCACGTTGTTCAGATGCCAACCTTGATACTCCAAGACCTGCAACAATTTAAATTCTCATTTTAAGTTATCCCTTTAAATCAGGGAGAACACTGAAGTAGACGGTGAAGCTTAAATCATGACTTCATTTTGTTTAGAAAAAGCAAAGCTCTGAACTTCCTCTTTTCACTTCCTCAGAGCCCTGGGGTCACGAGTTACGTTGTAATTTAGCTATCCAAGAGGAAATGTGCTATATAGCGTGGACTCTTTGGAAGGGTTGGCATACCTTCCTACAGGTCTTGATAGGGTTACCCAGTGTGTGCCTAGGTGATTCAGTCTTCAGAAATGGCAGACATCACACTTACCAAAAAGGGAAGATTGATTGCTGCTCACTATTTCAGTATTAGTATTTTCCTTAAGGGGGAGACTGTCTCTCAGATATCTATGAATGTGTGTCTGATATACCATTTTTTTCTCCTTTTCTGTAGATTCTGCCTCTCCTTTCATTATATCAATATTTTATCTCAGAAGTTTGCCAAGATTTATGTAAATGCATAGATGCAAAGATCCTTAAGGTAATGACATATTGGCTTTTTAATACATTAAGTAGATTTCATATTTTTTTTTTAGTAACAAATGTGTTGCCTCTTTTGGGTTATTGTCATGAATCAATTTAATTTTAACACTCCAAACTGACCCAACTGTATTAGAGAGCAATCTGGAATTGTGCCCAAAGAGTTGTAAAACTGTATATACCCTTTAACCTAGCTATACCACTATTAGGTCTATTTTTCAAAGTGGTCAGGGAAAAACAAAAAGAACCTATATGTTCTAAAATATTTATAACAGCTCTCTTTATGGTGGCAAAGAACTGAAACTGAGGGGATGCCCATCAATTGGGGAATTGCTAAACAAGTTGCGGTATATGCTTGTGATGGAATACTACTGCACTTTAAGAAATGATGAGTAGGTTGATTTTAGAAGAACATGGAAAAACTTGCATGAAATAATGAAGAGTGAAATGAGCAGAACCAAAAGAACATTGTTTACAGTAACAGCAATATTGTTTGAAGAATAACTGTGAATGACTAAGCTATTCTGAGCATTATAAATATTCAAATCAACTACAAAGGACCTATGAAGGAAGATGCTATCCAGCTTCAGAGGAAGAAATGATGAATAGAAGTATGCCCAGTATGGTTTTACATATTCATATATCTTGTCTAATAGCATCTGTCTCTGGTGCAGGGTAGTGAGGGAGGAAGCGAGGGAGACAGCTTGGAGCTCACAATGTAACAAAAAAAATTAAATTAAATTAAAACTTTTTTTTTAAACACTCTTTGGTATGTAATTTAAAGAGGACTAAAATTAAATTTCACATTATTTTAACTAAAGGATAGGCAAATATTGCTAGACACATTTATGTAGCTCCTTAGGTTTTATGAATCTCTTTACATAATAATAAGACAGCAAGGTGGCTCAGTGGATAGAGTACTGATCCTGGCATCAGGAAGACCTGAGTTCAAATGTGACCTCAGACGCTTACTACCTGTATGACCCTGGGAAGATCACTTCACCCTGTTTACCTCAGTTTCCTCATCTATAAAATGAGCTGGAGAAGGAAATGGCAAACTACTCCAGTATCTTTGCCAGGAAAACCCCAAATGGGGTCACAGACAGAACTGAAAACTACTAAACAACAATAACAACAACAACATAATAATACTTAATAATAATAATAGCATTTATGTAGCACTTTAAGGTATCATTTGAAATTGATGGTGAAGCTTTAATAATGACCTAGTTTGTTTAGAAAAAGTAAATCTCTGGACTTCCTGACTCCACACCCCCTGCATTTGACTTCATCAAATATTATTCCATTATTATTAATTCTAAAAATTATTCCATTTTATCCACACAATAACCAAGGGAAGTAGGTGTTATTATTGTCCCCATTTTACATATGAGGAAGCAGAGGCAAGTGACTAGCCCAAGATCATGCAGCTAGGAAGTATTTGAGGCCAGATTTGAACTCGAATCTTCCTGACTCCAGATCCATTATGCTACTTAAATGCCTCATACATCATTTTGTTGATCCTTACAACAACTCTTTCAAGTGGGTTCTGTTATTATAACAGCTATTAATTTTTAACATTTTAACAAATGGCAAAACAGGCTAAAAAAGTTACATGACTTACTCTGAGTCACAGAGAGTAAGTATCTGAGATTTAGACTCATACTTTTCCCGATTCAAATTCCAGTCGTCAGTCCTCAGTGCTATGCTGCCAGCTGAAAAGGGCTAGATGATGTCATGTTTTATGTATCTATACAATTCAAATGAAGCATGGAATCGAAGCACCTTATTTGAATAGTTTAATCCTAGACATATGTTTTCTTTTTTTATTTGTAATTTTTTTAAAATTTTAAACTTAAATACAAAGTGAGAAAAGAAAAAAGAAAGAAACTTAAATACTAAAACTAAATAATACAAAATTATATGTTTTCTTGGTAGTGTTAGTAGGCTTTGAATTATATGGGCTTCCTACAATAATAAAATTTTTAGATGATTCTTCTTTTTAAATTTATTTATTTATTTCATTAACTATTTCCCAATTATGTTAAATTTTTTTAACATTAATTTTCAAAACTTTTAAGTTCCAAATTCTCTCCCTCTCTCCTATCCCTTCCCCACCCTGTGATAGGACAAGCACTATGATATAGATTATACTTGTGAAATCATGCTAAACTCATTTCCATATTAGCCACGTTGCAAAAGAAAACGTGCATCAACAAAGTCCAAGAAACACGAAGAAAATAAAAACAACATGCTTCAATCTGCAGTCAGAGTTCGTTGGCTCTCTCTCCAGAGGTGGATGGCATTTTTCATCGTGGCTCCTTTGGACTTGTCTTGGATTGTTGTCCTGATCAGAGTAGCCGCGTGTTCCACAGCTGATCATTAGACGAGTCTTCTTCTGGGCCAGCGTTCTCTTCCTCCTTAGTCATTTATTACATAAGCGCTCTGTGACAGACCCCTTGTACCCAGGTTACAGAGAAGTGTCAGACATGGCATTGAGGGTTGAAAAGTAAGAGGACAAATACAGAGGGTAAATCACAATGCATGGTAGCAGAAAAGGTGCCCATTGGTATTACAGGCAGTAAGCCTTTCTGTGTGGCACATAGGTATTGATAGTAATGATGCTATGACCTCCTATTCATGATTTTCAGAGTACTCCTGCTCGATCCTCCCAGCAGTCCATGGGATACAGAGGGCTGCTGTCACTGTCCTTTTTATTTTTTTTTGTCAGATACAGAAACTGAAACTTGGGGATTTTAAGTGGGTTGTCAGATTTTGCATTATTAGCAAGAGGCAGAATTAGAATTGGAACCCTGACATTTTGATTCTTTTCCAGGACATCAAACTTTGTTTGGCTGTTAAGTCTACTGATACATTGGTTTGCCTTTCTGTCTTTCACTTTCTTCTTCTTCTCCCTCCACAGACACAACACACGTCTTCTTCTTTTTTTTTTTTCTGTGATTATCAGTGTTAATCAGGATAATCCTGAGTTTAGAGGGATTTGATCCCGTTTCTCACACTGTAGCCTAACGTGTTCAGATCCAACGCCTCATTTGTTTCTTTTCTTTTGTTTAAAGATAGAAATCCTTATTGACTTAGGACTCCTTTCTGAAGCTTATAGTGAACTAGCCAATCTTTGTCCTGGAAAAGGCATCCCCAGTACCACCTCTTCAGGCTCCAAGATTTTCTTGAAACCTAAGGTAAGTCTGTGAGGCTAAGTCAGAGCCATATTTTTACCTTCAAAGGCTTTTCTTCTAAAATCTAAGGCAAGTCATCCTCAAGTTGTCTTTATGACTCTAACGGATCGGTAGACCTTTCACAAGATGGAGATTAGGAGAATAGCACTAACATCCCACTTATATTGGGCATTAGAACATCCTGCCCAGGACATAGTGTTATTGGGGTGATAGGATTTGACCCACAGTGGCCCTGTAGACCCTCAGAGTTATAGCATACTCCTATGTACCGGCAGCCCAGCCACTGGAAATAGAGTATGTCATTGACTTCATCAAGGCAACAGCAGCCTCTGGCTGACTGATGGCTGCAAAAACAAAGAAGTAGAAAAACAGGGTGGGGAAAGCAGTGCTTAAGAGCCACTTGCGGAACACTTAAATTCATCAGTAGTCCAGTTTTCATCTGTTTGACTCATTTGAAGAAAATTAGTCATGGCTTATTATAGCCTCCTGTGTACCACCAGGGCCGAGTTTGTGTGCTTATTCTGATTGTTTACATAATTATCAGTTATTCTACAAGATCCTACTGCTACAATGCCTCATTGAAACATGGTGTGTAGCCTGGATTCTTTATGGTGGTACCAACGGAACACAAATTCTGATGGGTCCTACCTGGCTGGAAAGGCTTCCAGGACAGCCTTGGTGATAGATGATGTCAGTTAACTGGTCTAAAGACCGACCTGGATGACCACAGATATTCTCATCACTACTGGGCTGGCCCAGGGTTATGAATTCTTTAGCCACTGAAATCTTTGAACCCAAGAAAAGTAGCCCTCCTCAGTCCTCTCCATCCACTTTTTCCTTACAAAATGCTGATAGTGATGTGGTTGAGGGGGCTCAGAATCCCATCTGTAGGTACTTTAAATGCAACATGTTTGTCCAGGGCCCAGCAAAGGACAGGGGGAGGGAGTAGACCTATAAGCTCATTGATATGGGGAACTCCCACTAATGCAGGTTGGCATCTTCTCTGCAATTTAGTTTGAGAGAGGTGCTTGACTTGGTCAAGGTCACGTAGCCAGTATATGTCAGATGTGAGACTTCAACCTGGATCTTCCTGACTCTTAGGATAACTCTGTCCACTACACCATGCTACCTATCAGCAATGACTCACCTTTTTAGTTCTAAATATCCTCAGCATGTGGAGTATAGTGTCAGCGAGATGGTACAGTGGATTGGGCCCTGGGCCTGTTGTCAGGAAGTGGCTGGTGGGGAAGTATAGACAGCATAGACAAAAGAGATGTGATTTTTCTTTGAATAAGTGTGCATTGATAGTTTTTTATTTCTTATCGTCTTCATTTCCCAATGAATCCCACTTCCCCTCTCGGAGAGTCAACCTTTGTAATACAGAGCAAAAAAAAAAAAAGGGACAAAATCATTTAGCAAAAACAAATCCCCCCAAAATGAATGGATGTTGCAAAAAAAGCCCACCATTATGTGCAGTGTTCCATATTTATGGTTTCCTATGAAGCCAGGGAAGTCCATTCTCATATCTCTTCTTTGGGGCTAAACTCAGCCATTTCAGTTTCACCCCACTGAGTTTTGATTGTTTCATGGTGCTTGTTCTTTCCATTTACATGGTCGCAGTCACTGTGTGTAGTATTTTCCTGGTTCTTCTTACTTCACTTTTCATAAGTTCATATGAGTCTTCCTATGCTTCTCTGTACTCAGCATATTCATAGTAGCACAGTACTATACTTGTTACCACAATTTAGAGGAAATGTTTAAAGTGAAATTATATCAAATTCCTAGTTGCCTTGTTATTTTGCATTATATTTATTATAACAACGATGAGATGTTTCATTATGAATATGTACCTAGGTTTGGGGAATGTTAGGAATCTTCTTTTAGAGAGAGTGATCTTAATCAAAAGTTAGTCTCTTCTAATTTCATGCTTTAATTGTTTTGACCTATACCACTAAAGAGTAAGACATGTGTGTTCCTTTCTCATCCCTAATTTCTTCATTTTCTGTAAAGAAAGAAAACATTTCCTCCTACTTTTTCCAATTTATTTCAAACTTTATGTCCATTCAGAGATAATTTTGCCTAGCTTTCCTTATTTTGTTCTCAGGAATTGAAATGAGTGCCTAAAGTGGCCCCAGAAATGAAGAATGGTCCTTGTACCTAGGTCTAAATTAAATCAAAGTAGAGCTCAAAGAAAATTAATGTATCCTGTCTCTTTGCATTTTCTTTTGCTTTGGTTTTCACAATAATCTGGACTCCTGGCTGCTTTTGCCATAAGTAAATTTGTGTTTTATTTCATTGCTCAGTGCTTTGGGAAACAGCAGAAAGAGTGCAGTCTGCTAGAATGATGAGCTGGGGGTGGGGTGGGGAATCACAGTAAGAAATGAAATATGGGGGGGACCAATGCACATGTGTAGTTGAGTTGTGGTGGAAAGAGCCCTGGAACTGAAGTCAGAAGGTCTGGGTTTCCATCTAGGCACTACCACTCAGTAGCCGTGTGACCTGGTCAAATCACTTCACTTCTCTGAGACTTAGTTTCCTCATCTGTAAAATGGGGCTAATAAAACTTGCAGTATGCATCTCCGAGGGTTGAGGTGTTAAACCTTAAAACCCTAAATAAACATTAGCTATTATGATTTTTATTATTATTATTTACAGAGCCTGTTTACATATCATCTTGGAATGTGCTGATTGTTTGAACTCTTGGTTTGTTCTCCAAACCTTATATGATCCTAGTATTATTACTGTACTGAAGCCATTCTCCCAGAGAGCATTAACTGCTCGTTTCCCGATGGCTGAACCTAAAATTTCCTCTCACATTTTTGTTTGGTCTCCAGCATCTGATCTTTATGCCATGGCTAAATGTGACAACTTAGATGCTGTAAAGTCTTGGTTTTCCTCTTGCTGCTCTACTTACTGCTTTTGACAAAAGACACATCCCCTAATATTCATTCAGTCTTCAGTCTCCTCACTTCACGTCCGATACTTCGCTGAGCTCACCATTCTCAGAGATCAAAAGCCTGTGTTTCATACTTGAAGATGATGCATTGACCCACCGCCAAAAATAGTAATAAGTCATATTTTTAAGGTTTGCAAGGCCCTTTGTAAATATGATCTCCTTTGATCCTCACAACAACCCTGGGAGGTAGATGCTATTATTATTTCTATTTTAAAGAAGAGGAAACTGAGGCTAAATGACTTGGTCACAGGGTCATACAGCTGGTGTCTGAGGCATGATTTAAGCTCAAATCTTCCTGACTGTGAGTTTAAAGCTCTATCCATTGGGACATTTAGGGCTTTTGTTTGTTTGTTTGTTTTTACTTAATTTTTGGTACTTTTTACTGAGTCATTCACTCTCTCCCCATTTATCTCTTACATGATCTTCTTTCTATGATGGTTGGTTGGTGTCTGAGGCCCAGTTTTTGAATATGACATGGAATCAAGCTAACTGGCCCATATGAGGATTAAACCCATTAAAATGAGCATTTTTAGCATCGTATTTTAACCAATTTTTTTTTGTTTCAGCTGTTTTTCAGTCGTGTTTGACTCTTCATGACCCCATTTTTAAAGCCAATTAGACTAACTTAAAATATCTGAACAAATGATCACAAAATCCTTGTATCTAAGAGCCTCTCTCTCTTCCTTTTTCCAGACCCCAGCCCCTCATTGTGTAGAAAGCATTCCTACTTCAAGTTTAATAGACTGGGCACAAAATGTCTTGTCTTCCTTGTAAAGTCTTTTTCGAGTGGTTCTCAAAGTTAACTACTGTCCTGGGCTTTCCTCCTTGTGCCAGGATCCCAACTGCCCCAATCTCACTGCTTCCCTGTCCTTTCTCTTCAAAGGACATTTTGAAGTAAATTTCCCCATTGAATCACTTTATCCTCTGCACTGTCGTTCCCAGTCCTGTGCTCCTGTAATCATTCTGCCTGGTTTCTCAACAGTTCTGTGCTCCTCCTCCTCCTCTTCTTCTTCCTCCTCCAATTCATCCACAGTGATAGCAATAACAGTTACAGAGATTTATGTTTATACAAGGTTCGTGGTGACAATGTGTCATACAGAGATTTTCATCTAATCTCACAACAATCCTGTGCATCGGACTGCCCAACCAGTATTATCCTTGTTTACGGTTTAGCAAACTGAGGCTCAGATAGGTTAAGTAAAGAGTGAAGCATGAACTAGTAGAAAGAGTAATGTGGCAGCAGAGAAGGCTCATGTGGTTTTAAGATGGATTAAGAGAGACCCGGCATCCAGGCCCAGGGATTCCTCTACCTTAATGAGATTTTATATGGAGAACTGTGTTTCATTACATTCCAGGAAAGCCACTGGTAAGCTGGAGTGCATCCCGAGGAGGACGGCCAAAATAACGAATGGCCTAGAACAGGGGTTCTCAAAGCATGGTCCACAGACCCCTTGGGGTTCCCAAGACCCTTGCAAGGCCAAAACTATTTTCAGAATAAGCCTAAGTTATTTAAATTTCTAACATAGTTGATATGAACAGATAAAGTCTACATAGCTGAAAACCCTTTAAAGGAGTGGAGAGGAGCGGGTCTCAATGACTTTTAAGAGTGTGAAGGGGTTCTCAAGCCACAAAGTTTGAGAACCGCTGCCCCCAAGGATCACTGGAAGGAGCTTAGAGATGGTTCTTGCGGAGAAGAGAAGACATGAGGGGTCCTGCAGAAGAAGGGGTCAGTTTACGCTGCTTGGACAGCATTAGGAATAAAGGTATAAATTACAAAGAGACATATTTAGGACTGGTGCCAGAGAGAACTTGCTGGCAAGTAGAGCTATTCCTGTATGGGATGGACTGACTCAAGAAAGAGTGGGTCATCCCTCATTGGAAGTCTTTAAATAAAGGCTAGTGACCTCCCTCCCTGTCAGGTGCATCACAGAAGGGATTCTTGTGTGGGGGTGGGTTTAGTTAGAATGATTTTTTTCTTTTTTTAAAAAAAAATTTAAGTTTTAGGCAGTTGGGGTTAAGTGACTTGCCCAGGGTCACACACCTAGTAAGTGTCAAGTATTTGGTCTGAGGCCAGATTTGAACTCAGGTCCTCCTGACTTCAGGGCCGGTGCTCTATCCACCATGCCACCTTGCTGCCCCTTGAATGATTTCTGAGCTCCTGTCTGTCTCCAGTATTTTGCAGCCTCTGTGAACTGGGAGTCAGGAAAAATAGATTTGATTTGATTAATAGTTAGCTTTGTGACCTTGGACAAGTCACTGAACCATTGTGAACCTCAGTTTCCGTATCTGTTAAAATGGAGGATGGGAGGGGTTGCACTAACACTGTATCCTACCATCTTGAAAATTTGGTAGTCCCAGTGACTTGGACTTTATGGCCGCAATGACTCGGACTCGCCTAAGATCACACACACAGCAGTCATTAGGGATGTAATGCAAGACCAGGGGCCTCTTTCCCCTGTGCTGTCCTGACTCTTGGTCGATATAGCAGAAGTCTGCTCCTTAGGTTAACTTGTGCTATAAGAAGGAAAGCATATGTTCACCTTCCTGGGAGGGATGAATTCTTCTTACTCATCACACTTTTGTGCCACCGATAGTAGAGAGTGTTCTAGAGATACCTGGGCCAACTGGGACAGTCTTTAAAAGATACTAGAGAACATGTTGCTATGGCAACACTCAATTAAATTCACTTTGCCAACCTTAAAAAAGTCCTCATGCTAATTCTAATTTTGTGTTTGCTAGCAAATCACACAGCCATTTGAAGCAGGAAAACCTTATATGTCCAAAGAAAATCTATTGGTAAGTAAAATATCTTTTTGTATATCATTGTTTAAAAAAATTTGTATGTTTTACATTTAAAGAATATTTTTTATTTATTTCATTAAATATTTTCCCATAAAATAAAAAATTTTAATATTCATTGTTTAAAATATTGAGCTCCAAATTCTCTCCCTCCATCCTGTTCCTTCCCCACCCCTTGAGAAGGCAAGCGATATGATATCATATTCGTTTTCATTATATCATAATATCATGATATTATTATATCATCATTGTTATTGGCCGGTATTGGGTCTGAGGAAAAGAGTTTGTTGAGTTAGAAGTTTGCTGACTTACCTGCGTTTTCTCTCAAAACCTTGAGACATAGTCAAACAGGAATGTCGAAAACATGTCAGTCAGTCAACATTATATTAAAGGCCCAGTGTGTGCCAGGCACCATGCTAAGTGCTGGAATACAAAAAGAAGCAAAAGACAGTGCCTGCCCTCAAAGATCTTGCAATCTAATGGAGGAGACAATAAGCAAATGTGTACAAACAAGTCATATAGAGGATAGATAGGAAATAATTAACAAAGGGAAGGCACTGGAATGAAGAGGGCTTGGGGAAGGCTTCCTGTAGAAGGTGGGATGTAAGTTGGGACTTAAAGGAAACCAGGGAGGCCAGTGTTGGAGTGGAGGAGGGAAAATGTTCCAGGCATGGGGGACAGCCAGAGAAGATGTCCAGAGCCAAGAGATGGAGAGTCTTGTTTGTGGGCAGCCAGGAGGCCAGTGTCACCGGATCAAAAGAAAACTGGAAAGGTAGGAGGGGACAAGTTATGAAGGGCTTTGAATGAAAAAAAGCATTTTGTATTTCATCCTGGAAGCAATAGGGAGACACTGGAGTTTGTTGAGCAGAGGAGTGACATGGTCAGGCCTATGCTTTAGGACAACTGCTGTGGTAGCTGAGTGAAGGAGAGATGAGGCAGGCAACCCCACTAGGAGGCTATTTCAGTAGTCCAGGTATGAATTGATGAGGGTCTGCTCCAGCGGAGTGTCAGTGTCAAGAGGAGAGAAGGAGGCATTGGAGAGCTATTGCAAAGGTAAAATCAAGAGTCCTTGGAAATAACTTGAACATAGGGGTGGGTGGGATTGGGGGAGGGTGGGGAGGTGAGCAAGAGTGAGGAGTCCAGGATGACTGGGAGTTGGTGTTCCCCTCTACAGTAACAAGGATGGTGGGGTTGGGGAGGATTGGGGGGGGAAGATAACGAGTTTGGTTTTAGACCATGTTGAGTTTAAGATGTCTACTGGCCATCCCATTTGAGATATCCGAAAGTCTGTTTGGGGATGTGAGATTTGACGTTAGCAGAGAGGTTGGGGCAGTAAAGTAGATTTGAGAATCATCAGTCTAGAGATGGTCATTAAATCCATATAGGAATGCCAAGTGCACAACAGGGCCACGTAGGGCCAGATGTCAGTTACTACCCCCATTTTTCTAGTTAAGGAAACACGTTCCATCTCTTGCCTCTGGGCGTTTTCACTGGCTGTTCCCCATACCTGAGATGCTCTTCCTCCTCATCTCTGTCTCCTGGCTTCCTTCAAGTCTCATCTAAAGTCCAACTGTCTTCAAGAATCCCTTTCTAAGCCCCTGGATGTTAGCGTCTTCTCTCTGTTGTTTCTCCAGTTTATCCCGTGTGTATCTTGTGTGTAGGGGTGCTTATCTCCTCTGTTCGACTGAGAGCTCCTTGAGAATGGAGACTTGTTTTGGTTTTGTTTTCTTTTGTGTCTGAAGCACTGAGCACATATTATGTGCTTAACAGACGCTTGTTGACTTGATACACACATGCACATGCGTGTATAGTTGTATGCATGTATGTATATACACATACACTTATGTGCATCATGCCTGCATATATTTTCATCAAAATTCACATTTCCCATTAGTTGTCAAATGTTCTAATGGTAGAGCTTCACCATTAGAAATTCCTGCCCATCAAGCATTGCTTTTCTTTTGTACCTGCTCTTTTCCTCTTAACCTTCATTCTAGTTCTGAGAAGACTGCCTTCCACAGGGTTGTTTGGGATTATTTTTTGTTTTTTAATCAAGTATTATGATCAGAGAATTCTTGAACTTCCATGAAATTTCTCTCAGAGAGCAGAAGGTTGTTTCTTGGGTCTCATTCCATCCATGTAGTAATTCTTGATTCTGGCTAAACGAATCAAATAAACGTGGGGTAAATGCCCTGTCCTCAGTCCCCTCCATCCACATGAACAAGAGTGGATGAGCTTTATTCATATTTAATAATAGCAATTTCAGTGTGCCATGGAAGGACCATATTTAGCAAAGACAAGTTGTTCGCATTTCTAGAAAGACGTTCAGCCACCATGGGACCGTTTTATGACTATGGATAGACAAGCAGCCATAGGCATTCTGTTTTGCTATGGAAAATGCCCCCAACTAATGCGGGCATCTATTGCCTTGGAAAAGTTCTTTACTTTTCTTAAAGAGTTTTGAAGAGATTTTCTTTCCAAATTCATTTATGAGTCATTTCCATGTCGTATAACTTGTGCTGGGAATGTACTTTGCTCGGAATAAAAGTAGCTTTATGAAATCTCCTCCTTTATTGCTCACTTTCATTCCAAAGACTTCATTTTCAGGTGGCTCATTTTTTTTTCTTGCATTAGAATGTGAAATGGATCTTGAGTTCCCTGTAAGGAGCCTGCACTGAAAGGGCTGCCATTAGGAGGATTTAATCACACATTTGTATTTCATTCAAGGTCCCAAGACCTCAGAAAGCCTGAGAGTATTTGTTTTCTTTCAGAAAGAAATGTCAGGTCATCTTTTCCATTTCTTTTTGCTTTCTCCTGTAGGAATAATTTTATGTATAAAGGAAATGTCACTCAGATCTTTTTCTTTTAATATAAAATGAGAATGGCAAAGTAATGAAGTCATTAGTTAACTAATTAAAATACTATTTTAGAGGCTGCTTAACGCCCTTTAGAACACACTTTTTTTTTAGTATTGAGGGAAAGTAACATCGAAGACTATTACTCAGTAATCTTGTGTTGATCCTTAAGTGTTTGCATATAATTATTTGAGCTGATTACATCAACGTTCTAAAAACAACCAGTACTCTATTTGCTGATACTTAGTTTGCCCACTTGTCCAAATCTGGTAGTGACTTAACAATGTCGCAGGTATGAATGCTGGGACAGCAAACTTGGGAATCTCTTTGGGATCTCTCTGGCTACTGGATATGGGAGTCCAGCCTTTGGAGATGGTAAGAGGAAAGACTAGAGGCCCAGGGAATCTTGATTTTTATAATTCCACCCCAGTCTACTTGAATGACTCGGAATGCCTATTTTCCTGGGCCATGAACTCAGTAGGTCTATTTTCCTAGCAGTGATAAAGCCAACAGGAATTGCCAGCTTTTGGCCAGAAGGATAGAGACAGGAGCTATAAGGAGGCAGATTTAATTCAGTGTTAGCTGGAATGCCCCCCTCATGAGGTGCTGGAGAAGAGTCTGATGACCACTTGTTGAAAACATCCTAGAAAGAATTCAACATTAGCTAGGGCAGGGGTTCTTAATCTGGGGGTTCTGTGGGGGAGGTCTGTGTGGGTTGGAGAGTGCTTGTGTAAATTCACAAGAGAGAAGAAAATGAAAATTATATCATCATTTTCACTAACCTCTGAGGGAAATTTAGCATTTCTTTCACTTATGAATATGGGCTACAAAGATGATTCTGAGAAGGGGTCCATAGGCTTCACACCAGCTTCTGCCAAAGTCTGGTGACGTGTGGCCCCCAAAGGGGTCAGGACTCCTCAGTTAAGGAACTGACTTAGATGACCCTGAAGTAGTTTCCAGCCCTTGCAACTTCTGTGACTGGCCTCGCCCCCCCCCCCCCCACGGTCAGACAGAAGAGCAGTGGGCCTGGCCACTGTACTCCTAGTCCTGGCCAACTCTGAAGTCAACTCGGTTCCATTTATTTCAGTAGACACTTAGGAAATACAGGAGACTAGACTAAGCATTGGACATACAAAGGCAACCAGATGACAGTCTTTGCCTTCAAGGAACTCTTAATCTACTGGGAAGGAAAAACATAAACACCAATAAGCAGGACATGAGACAAACAAGATGTAGCAAGTACGAAGGGTGGGGTATCCCCCAGATAAAGTGGTATGAGATATTTATAACAACTTCTGTGGCAGAGAGGAGCACTGTGCAGCATTGGTAGTGGACCCAATCAGTGCAGTCTTGTGATTGGTAATGTGTTCCAACAGTGCCCAGCAGCTCAAATATAGAAACAGAGAAGGCAAAAGATGGCCATTACCCAGGGATGGGCTCTTACAGTGTAGGGACAGCAGAGGTTAAGAAGATGATTTGTGCAAGAGAAGAGAAGAGGAGAGCACATAGTTGGCAGTGATAGCCTGTGAGGAAAGGAACCAGGAAGATGACCAGAGAAAACAGATAGGGACTGAGGAACAGAGGCACCAGATGAGGAGAGGGCCAAGTTTAGGAGGAGCAAATGGGTGGGAGTGGTAAAAGGACAAGAGATGGTGATCAAAGAAGGGAATTCCAGTGTTCTGGATCTTGGTAAGAGAGAGCAAGAGTTGTGGGGATGCTCAAGGGATGATAATCCCTGGGTAGAACTGATGTAGAGTAGGGATGGAGATCATGAAAAGTTGAAGAATGAAGGGGTCAGGATGTTAGGAATGTGATGTGAATATTGAAGTCCTTGCATGTGTTGAGACCACTGAGGAATGGGGGAGTGTCCCAGAGATTGGCAGATGCCAGCAACAAGGAATGGAATGGAGTGATAAGGGAACAGGTGGGTCCTGAGTTTGTCCAAGGAAAAGGTCTGGAAGTGGAAGTTGGGTATGCAGAATATACTGTTTCCTCTTTGGAAGAGACGTTACCTCCTCTATGATCTCACTTCACATCAGAATTGTAGCATCTCAGTTGGAAGGGACCTCAGAGGTCATCTAACACAACCTGAATGGGAATCTTCTCTATACTTTTCCAGAGAAGTAGTCATCAGGCCTCTTCTTGAGAACTTTCACTGATGGAGAACTCATTACTTCCCAAGGGAGCCCCTTCTACTTACAGATAGCTCTCATTGTTCAGAATGGGTTCCTTATGTTGTACTGAAACTGTCTATTAACTATCACTTGATGATCTCAGTTCCACCCTCTGGAACCAAGCAGAATGTCTCCCCTCACTCCAATGTGACCCAGCTCTTTGGGAACAGTTGCCATATTGCTTTTCTTTTTGTGTATCCATTACTTAGCATGGGGTTTGGCATATGGCAAGAACTTACCAAATACCTTTTATCCATTCATTGATTCAGACATATAAGCATGCTTATTTTCCTTCATTTGTCTGATCCTTCTTCCACATGACAACCCTTCAAATACTTGTAGAACAATGATCATCACTGCCCACCCTCCCCCGCCATCTTCTCTTCTCCAGGTTAAATAATCCCAGTTTCTTCAGCTGTAAAGGTCAAATAAAATCATATGTGCACACTTTAAAGCTCTCTACAAATGCTAGCTATTCCTACTGTTAACTGCTCTTCATCTTCCTTGGCCTTCCTTGGGGTGTTTGCCCATGTATTTGGTATTGTAAAGTAGCACCTACCATCTGCTGATGGGAATGAGGGTAAGCTTAGGTTGTCTCCTCCCCAATGTGTGGTACCATTCTGTGGCACCTCATCTGTTGCCAGACTGTACAGCTTTCACTGTTGATCAGTGTAGAATCAACAAAGCATCACTTTGGTGACTGCCATATTTTCAGCAAAATATGAGTTTCCCACATTCTCCTTCTAGGCCCTGGATAGTCCTGGGTGGCCAGCATGATATGAGAGAGGGGCATAGAATGACATATCTTCTGTCCTGTATTCAGGGGGGAATGAAACTGATAACTTCTAAAACAATGCTTTGCTCTTTCTTGTTCACAATCCCCTTTCTAGGCCCTGGAAGATTTATTGAATCGCGGCATTCCTGGATGTGTGACTCTTATGTGCCAACCAACTTTCATATATAAGTTTACTTTGGTCAAAATGCGCTTTTTCATCCGGCTGGCTGCAACAATAAATTGCCTGCCAGAAAATGAAGTGAAATCTTTCTTCCAGGAGCTTTCCCAGAAAAGCAAATTCCAGGTTACAAGCAATAAAGGTAATCCCAGATGGGGAGCTGTTACTCGATCTCTGTAGATAAAGTATGTTTGGAGTGATTTCTATCCCTTTCTATAGTGCATCACCTCTTTAGTGGACAGCAGTGTGGAGGTCAGAGACAATTCCTTGCTACTCCTACTGGAAAGAAACGATGGTCCATTTTGATAATGGTGGGTGGGTCAGTGAGGGAGTGGGCAAGGATGGGGAAGGAAACACAGCATAGAGAAGTGTGAAGAAGTCTGGATTTGGAGACTAAAGGAGCCAGGTTCCAATCTTAGATCAGTCACTTATGACCTACATGATCTGGATGGGGCTATATGACCTCTAAGGTGCCTTCTGGTTCTAAACTTATGACCTCTACCTTAGGTATATTAATAATAATAATAACCTTTCTATAGTGCCTGCTATGTGCCAAGCACTGTGCAGAAGACATTGCAAATATTATCTCATTTGATCCTCACCATGAACCTGGAGGGTAGTTGAGGTAGTTGAGGAAACTGAGGCAAATGTAGGTTTAATGGCTTACCCAGGGTTAGACAGCTAGAAAAACTAGTAACCATCCAAGGCTGGATTTGGGTGCAAGGCTTCCCTCTATCCCAGGCACCACCTAGCTGCCCTGGTGGTCTTTAGGGATTGATTCCTAGGCCTCCTAATATAGCCTAGACCAGATGATGAAGCTGAAGATGGGCTGAGATCAGCGTGGCCCAGACTTCACAACAGCCTAATGGAAGACTTGTATTAGAACTTCTATACAATTGTGCACACAGGATAGCTGACACGTGCTTAGTATTCATGTAAATGAAATTATATTTCTAAAATGAAATATATATTGTTCCCTCCTGGGAGGATATGACCCAGATGAATCCTTAATGATGGATGCCTTTTGGAAGGCAATGTTGTAGAGCTTAAGACCGTGGGCGGTCAGGGAGCTTATCTTCAGTTGACTTGCATGTGTTTAAATACAGCAACATTTCCTGAACTCACCCATGGCTAATTTGGAATCTCTAATTTTCTAAATTAGAATTTGGATAGGGATTGGGTTGAAGTTTACTCTGGCACTGTCATGGGGTTCATCATCTGCAACCTGAAGTTCATGGTGCCTTTCGATCTAACTCACTGCTAACCCCAAACCTCTTCTGGGTGTGGTCTCTCTCATTGGAATGGAGAGTTGGAACTCTCTTGCTTTTCTGTTTGTAACCTCGATGCTTAGTAGTAATAAGTGCCTCCCTTCTCTCCCCCCTTCCCCTTCCCTTCTGTCCCTTCCTTCCTTCTAGTCTCTCCTTTTTTCTTTCCCTTTCCTTGCCTTGCCCTGTTTGTCTCCCTCTCTCCTCTCTCTTCTTTCTTCCTTCCTTCCTTCCTTCCTTCCTTCCTTCCTTCCTTCCTTCCTTCCTTCCTTCCTTCCTTCCTTCCTTCCTTCCTTCCTTCCTTCCTTCCTTCCTTCTTTCCATTCCTTCCATTCCTTCCCTCCATTCCTTCCTTCCCTTCCCTCAGTGAAGAAGAGAACTACTAAGGAGATGAAAACCACAGTTGTCCAGTAGGAATCTGATCTCATCAATGCAGAGATTCCCACGTTGCAGTCCACAACCTGTTCACATCTTCCCAGCTTCTTTCATTCTCTTCCTTTCTTCTTATAAATTCCCCTTAGAAGAGGAAGCTTTGCCCTAAGTACCCTAACATCGTGTGGGCACACATGCTACCTCACTGACCATCCGTCTGTTGCCCCTCACCCTTGTTTTATGACTGGCACATCTCCTTGTCCAATCATACATCCCTCTCCTTTTGCCAGCATGGATGATACACTACAGGCTTCTTGTGACCTTGTGTAACTTTGCCCTCACCTATGCACCTTTAATTTCTTAAGTCTGTGGAATGCCCTTTGGGGAAGTCTGTGAAGTCTACCCATAAGTAGTAATAGCAAAAGGCGGCATGGAGATAGTACTTGAAGATACACAGTGTCTCATTTCACCTTCATATCATTCCTGTGAGGTAGGTACTATAAGTATTGTTATCCCCATTTTACAGATGAGGAAACTGAGGCTTAGAAAGGTGAAGAGACTTGTTAAGGCTGACAGAGCTAATGAGTGTCAGAGGTGAGATTCAAACCCAGATCTGAGCTGGCTCCTTATGCGACATTTTTTTCTAACATATCCTGGATAAGTCAACAAATATGTTGGACATATAGTCAACAAGGACAGTGAGTTGAGTAGGCCATTGGATGTCAAGAAGAAAGCATGCTCAGTTGCATTGGGGAAATTACTGTGCTTTCCATGATTCCAAGGTCAGTAGAGAAAACAAAATAACAAGAGAATATTTGAAACCTCTTAGGAGAAGAAAGTTTTTTGAAACCTCTGAGTACTTTGGAAGTACCCAGCTATTTAAAAGTGATGTGCTAATTTTAAAATATTCTTATCTATTCCTTAATAAAATCTCTTTAAGTAACATTTTATTAGCTTAGACTTGGTACCTTATTGAAAGTAATTCAACTGTGCTTCTTTTCAAATATTACATAATTTTGACTTTTTACCAAGTCAGATTGGCCTATTAGTTCAAATTAGTGAGATTTTTTTATAAGTTAGTATCTATTAACTAGTTTTCATTTATTGAACTTTGTAAATCCTCTGTAGCAATCAGCAACTATTTTTAGTTTATACTAAAAATGTGAATTTGTGTCTAAAGTAGAAAATTCCCTAACACTGCGGAGTGGACTTTAATTATACAGTGGGTAGGGAATAAACTGTTTTAAAATAAAATTATTTAAGTGGGAGAGACAATTCGAAAATATTTCCTATGAAGGCATATCTACTAATATCATATAAACTAATGCTGTTTCTTTTTTCCAATCATGGAAAAACTTAATGTATTATATAAACAAACCCTGGTGTGATATTGTTCATGTGTGATAAGCTTTCTATGGAACTAACGGCCCTCTACAACAGTTCAATCTAATATTATGTCTTCACTGAACAAATTAAGGGCATTTAGAGGAGTATGCCTATATTTCATGATTAAAAAAATGTCATGGATGTTATTTTGGGGAAAAGCAAACAAGGAGATATCAACAATTATAGATCCTAAAGCTTAGGTGCAAGGGCTCCATGTCTCAGGTTGACTGCCCCCATAAAACCAAAACTCTGGGGCAGTCGGGGGGTCAAAGACAGCCAGTATTAGCCAACAGATGCTTGCACGGAAGGGGTCAGGGGAGAGATGAAGAAAGGTGCGTTGAGAAGCCAGTGGAGGACACTGCCAGTCACAGGACACCAGCGGAAAAAAAAAGCCCTGTCGGTTTGATCTTCCATCTAGGAGAGTTACTGAGTCTGTGCCCTGAGAAGGAGGAGCAAAGGCCCATGTCTAGGATTTAAGCTTCTTTATCTAATGGCCATCCTTCCTGGATGGCTGGAATCGATATGTGGGAATTCCATTGCTTTATCTGCATGGTTTTGCCAACTCATAGCAGGTGCTCGGGATACAGAGAAAAAGAAACAAGGTACTGTCCTCAAGGCATCAAGGCAGTGCGTTGGCACATTGGACTGGAATCAGGAGGGCCTGGGTTTGAATCTGGCCTCAGTCAGTAAACATATATTGAGTGCCTACTAAGTGCCATGCACTGTGCTAAATGTTAGTGTTAGGGATGCAAAAAAAGGGGCAAAAGACAGTCCCTGCCCTCAAGGAGCTTACAATCTAATGGGGGAGACAACATGTAGACAGCTATGCACAAATGAGCTATATACTGAATAACAAAAGAAATCATCAGCAGAGGGAAAGCAGCAGAATTAGGAGGGGTTAGGAAAGACTTCCCGTAGAAGGTGGCATTTTCAACTGGGACTTGAAGGAAGCCAGGAAGCAGAGACAAGGAGGGAGAGTATTCTGGGCATAGAGGACACCATGGGACAAGGAGGCCAGTGTCACTGGAGTGAGGAATGTGTCTTGGGGTCTAAGTCATAAGAATACTGGAACGGTGGCAGCAGTGGTGGTAGTGAGGGAGGATTATCCAGGTTTTGGATCACCAAATAGAAGATTTTATATTTGATCTTGGAGTTGATGGAGAGCAAATGGACTTCACTGAGTAGTAGGAGAGTGACATGGTTGGACCTGTGTTTTAGGAAATTCACTTTTTTTTTTATGAGGCAGTTGGGGTTAAGTGACTTGCCCTGGGGTCACACAGCAGGAATTTAACTTTGATGATTGAGTACATGGGCTGGAGAGGAGAGAGACTTGTAGCCAGCAGACTTATCAGCAGATTGATCTCTGAGCAGCCTCAGACACTTATTAGCTCTGTGACCCTGGATAAGGATCACATAACAGCATTCTGCCTCAGTTTCCTTCTATGTAAAATGGGGACAAAGCACCTACCTACCTCCTAGGATTGTTGTGAGAATAAAATGAGATAATATTTGTAAAAGCATTATATCAATGCAAGCTGCTACTAACTACTACTACCACTACTACCACTACTATTACTATTGACCAGTAATAGTTAATTTACTACTACATAGTTAAATCACTGCTACAAACTTCTACTTGCCAGGCAGCAGGTGATGTGTGTGGGGGCCAAATGGTTCAGCCACCAGGGAAAGAGGAGTCAGCAGAAGACAGGGTATGGGGACAGCACCCAAAATTAGGCTGGGTTTAGGGCTGAGATAGTCTTGGGAAGGTAGAAGACAGTGTAGAGGCACAGAGACAGCATCAGGTGTCTAGGGTGGGGATGGGAGGGAAGGTGTGGTGGCAATGCTGGAAGTCATGGTGGAGCCCAGCCCAGAAGATCTTTCTCTGAACCTGAAGCCAGAGGCCCAGCCCCCTGAAAAAACGAAGGTGAACAATTAAGGATTTCAACAAATTTTACAGTTTTGTCTTGGCTTAGGCTGGCTACATTCCCTCTAGCAAAGAGGAAAGCGACTGACCAGCTTCTAGCTCTAGTTCACCATTTCAGGGAGAGAGTGCTGCAGAGAGTGATGGCTGGAATTCAGTCCCTACAGACCTTCAACCATCCAGACTTTTATCAAAAAGGCTACATCTTCCAAGGGGCAGGCTGCTTAAGCAGGACCCCCTCCACCAGGGCCCACCTTTCCTCGATTGCAGGCCTCTGACAATGCTACACTGGTTGAGACGACCAAGCTTAAGGACTCTCTCTTTGATCTGGATAGCCCCAAAGTGGCACCCCCTCTGGTCCCTGTGCCCCCAACCCATGCCCCTTGGCCCCCTATACTGTCACCTCTGTCATTGCTTCCCAGGAGGATCTCCCTCAACCCTTCTGAAAAAAGGACAGAAAGGACTTTTGAAAGTTGGAGGGGGAAAGAAGGGGGGGAGGAAGTTGTGGAGTGCTTCGGAAACCTTGGTGAGAAGAGGTGGAGAATAAAGAAGAGGGGGGATCAACCCCACTACTTCTGGTCCCCCTCAGGGACTTCCTGGTGACACAGACTCTGAAGAAGTGGAAGAGGAGGAGGAAGAAGAAGAAGAAGAAATGGTAGCAGTGACAACAGCAGTAGCAGGCAGTTGTGGGGGTTAGATCCCAGCTTCTGGGGGTCTCTTGTCTTTTCTGTGGGACAGGTGATATTTCTACCATCTACCCACTTCTTTGTTTTAATAATATCGGCCAGCTGCTTGTCTGTACATTATGTTTGTAAATAAAACAAAGTGGGCTCTTTTGTATTTATTTAAAAAATTACTACTTTATTATTATATGCTATATTATATCATTACATAGTATATTATTAATATAGTATTACATTATATTATTATGTAATAATATTAATTATTACTACTATCGCTACTGTAAACTACTACTACGGCTATTACTACTATTATTAACTACTACTACCACTACTACTATTATTAACTACTATTACTACTACCACTACTACTATTACTGTTATTAACTACTACTGTTACTACCACCAGTACCACTACTGCTAACACTGTTACCATTACTACTCCTAACTACTACTACTACTACTACTTTTATTATTTTATTTGAGGTAAGCAACACATACAAAAGAGAAGTATATATATGCGTGTGTGTGTGTGTATGTGTGTATGTGTATATATATATATATATATATATGTATGTATGTATGTATGTATGTATGTATGTATATGAAATTTGAGTTGAACCTTCTAAATTTCAGCACCATGGGTCAAAGCCTCAGTCACAGGCACCTTACCCTATTTATAGTCCTGGTTATCACCCTGCTTCCTTAGAGATACACATAGCTCTGAGGACAATGGCAGGTGGACATGACCTTACCAAGCCCCCAAATAGCATAGAAAACACAGTCCTGGCTACGTGTTTATGGACAAGTCAGTGTTTCTCATTGGTAATCAAGCCAGATGATAATAGATGTCCTGACTGTCTGAAATGGATGTTGTTAGTGTCAGTGAAAGAGCACATAAGGGAAATTACTTAATTAGTTAATGAGCCACATAAATAGACACAAGGGAAGGAGACATGGGGATTAGACAGAGTTTCAGATTTAATGTCCTGAGAAAATTTGGTAGAAATCTGGCTCCTGACACTTCACTGGCTATCTGATCATTGGCAGGTCATTGAGCCTATGGGCCTCAGTTTCCTCCTCTGTCAAATGAGGAGAAGGCTACCAATAGTGGCTGCTTCAGAAAGTTGTACAAACCTTGTAAGTGCTATCTACATTTCATCTCATCCATTTATTTATTTATTTATTTGTTTGTTTGTTGATTTATTTTTTGCTTTTTGGTTCATGTCATTTCTTATGCTTCAATTATTGTCGTAGGGCAATGTCATATCGGGTAAAAGGCCAATTTCAAAACAGGTGGAACTCAGTTCAAATCCTTCCTCCAACACTTACCCAGCTTGGCAGCCATGGCAAGTCACTTTCTCCTGCTTAGCCTCAGCCACCCCACTTGATAGTCCTTATTAAACTACCTGTCTCCAAGGGCTGTTCTGACGAACATGCTTCGCAGACCTTAAAGGACCCGTACATGTTGCTTCTCTAAGGCATCTTTGGTAAACACACCACTCTTTCTGATCATCCAGATATTCTTTTATCCTCAGAAGCAATAAGGGAATAAATGGAACCCCACACGCCCAAAGGAGATTTTAAAGGTCCTTTCCAGCCACATGTCTGCTGACAGCTAGACTTCATGAAATTTCTCAAAGTCGCCACCTCATTGTGAATTACCATGGCAATACTAATACTCTGTTCTAGATTATTAGACACGGAATGGAGAAGGTTCAAGTCCTGCCTGTGATATATGTTAGCTGGGGGACCCTAGGCAAGATGCTTAACCTTCCACTGCGCCAGGATGCTCTTTAAGACTATACTTGGAAAAGCTGCCCAATCTGTTTAGATAGAGGGAATTCCCTATACAAATGAAAGCAGAGGAGCAGGCAAAAAAGGATAATGCTAGCAGCCACTTGAAAAGCTTGTTGTGAGGATCCATTGAGAAAATCTACATAAAGCACTTTGTAGACCCTAAAGTGGTCAATCAATGCTGGCTAGTATTATTATACCTATATGCGTACATATTGTCTCAGAGTATTCCACTTCTGTCTTAGCATTCCTAGCACAATTTAATAAGTGTTGCTGTTGTCTCCTTTTCTTTCTTCTTCTTCCTCTTCCTCCCCTTCCTCTTCTTCCTCCTTTTCTTCTTCTTCTTGCAGTGGAGAGAGCTCCAGGCCTGGAGTCAGGAAGACTCATCTTCCTGAGTTCAAATCTGGCCTCAGACACTTACTAGCTGTGTGACCCTGAGCAAGTCACTTAATCCTGTTTGCCTCTGTTCCTCATTGATAAAATGAGCTGGAAAAGGACATGGCAAACCACTCCAGTATCTTTGCCAAGAAAACCTTAAATAGGGTCACGAAGAGTCAGACAGGACTGAAATGACTAAACAACTACAACATCTATGATTATCATTAGGGAGGGCAGATTAGGGGAGGTGGTAGACAGAAGCAAAACACTAGTGAAGAGGAAAAGGATAAAAGGAGAGAGAGAACAAACAGGAGGAAGAATAGGATGGAGGGAAATACACAGCTAGTACTCATAACTGTGAATGTGAATGGGGTGAACTCTCCCATAAAATGGAAGCAAATAGCAGAGTGGATCAAAAACCAGAATTTTACGCTATGTTGTTTACGAGAAACACACTTGAAGCAGAGAGACACACACAGAGTAAAGGTAAGGGGCTGGAGCGGAATCTATTTTGCATCAGGTGAAGTTAAAAGCAAGGGTAGCAATCCTGATCTCAGACAAAGTAAAAATAAAAATAGACCTAATTAAAAGAGATAAGGAAGGAAACTACATCTTGCTAAAAGGTACCATAGACAATGAAGCAATGTCAATACTAAACATATATACACCAAGTGGTATAGCATCCAGATTCTTAAAGGAGAAGTTAAGTTAGCTATAGGAAGAAATAGAAAGCAAAACTATCATTATCATTGTTATTATTATTATTGTCCTTGTGAGATTTGGGCTCATAATATGTGAATACGGGGCTTTTGAGGGATGAGTTAATATTCCAGTATAGAACAGAGGTTCCCAATCTTGTTTGTGTCATGGACCACTTGACAATCTAACCACTACTCAGAATAATGCGTTTAAACACATAAAATACATAGGATTACAAAAACAACCAATTATATTGAATAAGTTATCTAAATATTTAAAAAAACACATATATACAAGTTCACAGACTCCCCTCCCCGCAAGCTAAGGATCCTGGACTGAGAACATTTGTTGTCATCATTGTGATTGTTTTTTATTGTTCTATTAGTTGAAATGTTGAACTTTGTGTTTTACTTTCCAAACTTTCATGTGTCCCCACATAAAAGAACATGCAAAGGAAGAACCTACACAAACTATTACTCTGATCAAGACCAAAGAGGAGCTGACGCCAGGCAAATTAAAGGTAATTTAACTTTCATTTATCACAGGATACATAGTCACTCAGTCCTTGTGCCTTTGGCCATGCCCATTTTCAGAGATGTGCTGTCATGGCAATACAGAATGATATTGTGAATGAATCTAACTTTGAAGAGACAGAAGTGGGAGCTCATTTTTTCTTTTAATAATTATACCTTTATTTTAACATTAATTAAAAATTTTTTTGAGTTATGAATTCTTTTCCTCCCTCTAGCCCCTCCCCCAGCCATTGGGAAGACAAGCAATATGATATCGATTATACATGTGAAATCATGTAAAACATATTTCCATATTAGCCATGTTGTAAAAAAAAATTAAAGTTAAGTGAAAAAAGTGTGCTTCAACCTGCAATCAGAATTCATTAGTTCTCTCTCTGGAGGTGGGTAGCATTTTTTCATCATGTGTCCTTTTGAGTTATTTTGAATCATGATCATCATCAGAGTAGCTAAGTCTTTCACAGTTGGTCACTGTTAACAAAAATTGCTGTTACTGTGTACAATGATCTCCTGTTTCTGCCCACTTCACTCTGCATCAGTTCATATAAGTCTTCCCAGGTTTTTCTGAACCCATTCCCCTTGTTATTTATTATGGCACAATAGTATTCCATCATAACCATATATCACAACTTCCTCAGCCATTCCCCAATTGATGAGCATCCCCTCAATTTCCAGTTCTTTGCCACCACAAAAAAGTGATGCCATAAATATTTTTGTACAGATATGCACTTTTCCTTTTTCTTTGATCTTTTTGGGGTACAGACCTACTATTGTAATTGTGGGTCAGAGGGTATGCACAGTTTATAGCCCTTTGACCATAGTTCCAAATTGTTCTCCAGAATAGTTGGACCAGTTCACATGTCCACTAACAGTGCATTAGTGTCCCAGTTTTTCCAAATCTCTCTCAACATTTGTCATTTTCCTTTTCTGTCATGTGGAGTGGTATCTTAGAATTATTTTAACATGCATTTCTCTAATCAATAGTGATTTAGACTATTTTTATATGACTATTGATAACATTGATTTCTTCTGAAAACTGGCTGTTCATATCCTTTGGTCATTTATCATTTGGGGAATGGCTCTTATTTTTATACATTTGGCTCAGCTCCCTATATATTTGAGAAATGGGACTTTTATCAGAGAAACTTGTAAAATTTTCTCCCAGTTTCCTGTTTTCCTTCTACTTTTGGCTGCACTGATTTTGTGTAAAAACTTTGATTCCATGTAATCAAAATTATCCATTTTTCCTCCTCTGATACTCTCTGTCTCTTGTTTGGTCATAAACTCTTCCCTTAATCATAGATCTGACAGGCACATTTCCCCAAGTTCTCTTGAGTTATTTATGATATTAATTATTTATATCTAAATCATTTATCCATTTTGACCTTATCTTGGCATACGGGGCAAGATGTTGGCCTATGCCTAGTTTGTGCCAAATTGCTTTCCAGTTTTCTCAGCAATTTTTGTCAACTAGTGAGTTGTTGTCCCCCAAACCTTGGATGTTTAGGTTTATTAAGCACTAGATTGCTATGGTCATTTACAACTGTGTATCATGTACCTAATCTATTTCACTGATCCACCACTCTTACTTATTTGCCAGTGCCAGATTATTTTCATGGTTATTACTTGGCAATACAGTTTGAAATCTGGTACTGTCTTGCTACCTTCCTTCACATTTTCCCCCATTGATTCCCTTGATATTCCTGACATTTTGTTTTCCCTGATGAATTGTTTTGGTATTTTTTTCTAGATCTATGTAATTCTTTGGTAGCTGGATTCATATGGCACTGAATACGTAAATTAATTTAGGTAGAATCATCATTCTTATTATATTGACTCGGCCTACCCAAGGACAATTAATATTTCTCCAGATTATTTAGACCTTTCTTTATTTCCATGAAAAGTGCTTTTACTTATGTTCATACAGTTCCTGGGTTTGTCTTGGCAGGTAGAGTCCCAAGTATCTTATATTGTCACAGTTATTTTAAATGGAATTTCTCATTCTATCTCTTCTTGCTGGATTTTGGGGGACTTATTCTTTCTTAAATAAAAGACATAGAGAAAAGACCAGGAGTGTCTACCCATGGATTTCCAGCATGACTAAGGCATTGGAGATGCTTTGTTTCATTGTGCTTATGTTTCATGTTTCATTCCTAAATTCCCATCTAATGCACAAAACATAGGTTCCTCAGTGCTGGGGGGTACTCTATAACATGGAGGTTTTAGACCTTTGCTGTTGAAAGACTCCCTGAAGTCCTCTTTGTATCTTTTTCCTTCTCTGCTGCAAATACAGCAGCAGAACCTCTGGTTCTTTGTTGGATAATCTAGTATTTCATTACGCTTATTTTACTACTTAGTTGACCCACATTTATTAAAAAAAAAACAATGAAATGAACTTCTGTGAAAATAATGGGCAAGCTCCCCTTTGCTATTAGTTTTCTTCTTTTTCTCCAGTATAACTATTACTTGCATTCACCTAGGCAACATTTGCATCTGAGTTACATAAAGTTAAGTAAGGTCCCTTCAGCATTGATACTTTCCATCTCTTGTCATTTTTGCCAGTTTGCTGGTTTTAGGTAAAACCTTCGAGCTGACCATTTCACTCATAGAATCATACAGATTAGGGGAAATATCCAGAGATCAGGATCATAACAAAAACTGTGAATTTAATTCATTTTGATTTTGTTGAATGTTAGGCCAATTCATAAGCAACTGGTTCTTTTTTGAATGACTCTGGAACTTCGATGTTGATGCGATTTTCTTTCCTAAGTCCTTGGCACTGTCAGATGGCTCAGCATCAGAAACTGATGTGATTAGATCAGTGCAAATGGTGTTGGAGAAGAGGCCTTACCATCTACTTTGCTGCTGCGCCCTAAGGACCATGGGGCCTTTTCTTCTGACGTGTAGCTCAAACCCTCCACGTTCATTGTCTTCCCCCATTTGCATGTGAGCTCCTGGTGGGCAGGCCCTGGTTCACTTTTCTATATATATCCCATGCTTGCAATACTCAGCACAGGCTAGGCATTTAAATGTTTTTTTTTTCCTCTCCCTTTGGTTCTTCAGGGGATTTTACTGACAGAAGCCGAAGATAAGCTTCTCACGCTAATAGAAAATGCAGAGTCATCCAACCGCAAGAGAATAATTCAGTTTAGCCCTGTAGAATTAGAGATTATGATTGAGGTCAAGCTCCAGCTAGCCGCTATTGCGATGCAGAGGCAACAAGCACCTTTCAGGTAAGCGCCCTCGGACAAGATGACAATTACTTTGTTTTTGCTCGGTTCCATAAACTTTTTGGCACCTACTATGTGCAAGTATTGAGGATACAAGGCATAAGCAAAGCAGCCCCTGACCTTGAAGAGCTTATGTCCAACAGGGGAAAAGTAGCAAATACACAGGCAAGATAATAAAGCCAGTTACAAAAGGAAGACAGAAAGAATGATTGAGGTGGTCTGGGAGGCTTCACAGAGAAGGTGTAACCTGAGACAGTCCTGGAAGGAATGAAGAGGTGGCTACAAGGAGAGAGTACATTCCCAGGCTGAGGTGATGGCTAAGCAAAGGTATGGTGGTATGGGAGTTGGAGGTTCAGGGAATATGTAAAAGAGAATATTGTGAACAATCGCTGAAAAGGAGCAGGCCTCGTAAAGCCTTCAATGCTAAGCTGAGGTGGTCATGGTGGATTTATTTTTTTCAGTTCTAGGGGTAATAGGGAGCCATTGAAAACTTTGGAGTAGAGGAGTGATATGGTCAAATATATGCCTTAGTAAGGTTACTCTGGCAGTTGAGTAGAAGAAGGGCTGGAAAGGGGAAGGGCTAGCACCAGGGAAAGCAATGGGAAAACTGTTACCATAGTCCAGATGATGGGTGATAAGGATCTGAAGGAGGATGGGCCATGGGAGTAGAGAAAAGGGGACAGATGAAAGAGATCTCATGCGGGTAGAATCAACAAAAAATGTCAACCATCTGGATATGGGAGGCAAACAAGAGGATCTGATCAAAGCTAATATTGAAGCTGTAAACTTGTTTGACTAGAAGGAGGATGGCCTGGTATTCTCAAGGGAAACTGATGAAAGGTCAATTAGTTATTTTGTTGATATGTTGAATTTGAGAAGCCAGTGGTATATCCAGGTGGAGATGTCAGTGAGGCAGCTGGCGACTGAGGGCAGGATAGACAGAGAAATGAGAGTAGCATATACAAATCTGATGGTCATCTGCACAGGTAATGGAAATTGAACCATTATTATTAAAGAGATGCTTAATAAACTAAGTGGTGATCCTCAAGAGACAGTATGGTTTCATCAAGAACAGGCTGTGCCCCAGTCACTTTATTCTTTTGTTGACAGGGCTACTAAGCTGATAAATCAAGGGAATGCTATAGATTGTAGCAAAGTGTTTGATAAAATATCTCAATCAATGAATAAACATTTATTAAGTGCCTACTGCATGCCAGGCACTGTGCTCAGTGGTAGGGATACAGAAAGAAGCAAAAGACAGTTACAAGACAGTCCCTGCCCTCTAGGAGCTTACAATCTAATGGGGGAGACAACATGCAAACAAATATGTACAAACAAGCTATATATAAGATAAATAGGAAATAATTAAGAGAGAAATGCTAGAATTAGGAGGGTTTGGGGAAGGCTTCAAGGTGTGTTTCGTTAGTGTTTTTGTTGAACTTAAAGGAAGCCAAGGAGGTAATTAGAACAGAGGAGGGAAAGTGTGCCAAGTGTGGGGGACAGTCCAAGAGAGTGTCCGGAGCCAAGAGACGGAGGATTTTGTTCATGGCACTGCAAAGAGGCCAGTGTCACTGGCCTGAAGGGTAAGTGGTAGGGAGTGAGGTGTAAGAAGACTGGGAAGGCAGGAGGGTGTATGCCAAACAGAGCAGTTTGTGCTGAATCCTGGAGGCCCTAGGGAGCCATGGGAGGGTATTGAGTAAGAGAGTGACATGATTAGCATCTATATAGCACTTACTATGTCCCAGGCACTGTGCTAAGTGCTTTACAAACATAGGAGGCAGGTGCTATTATTATTCCCATTTTGCAGTGGAGGATTCTGAAGCAAACAGAAATTAAATGACTCATTCAAGGTCACACAGCTAATAAGAGTCTGAGGCTGGACTTGAACTCAAGTCTCCTGACTCTAGGCCCAGCACTCTATCCACTGAGCCATCTTGGGGCTGTTATCACCTTGTTATTGTGAAAACAGGTGGAGTGATGTGGATCAGAACCTTGATAACCGATGGATTCAAGACCGGCTGAATGGCTGAGCTCAAGTAGTCAGCAGTGGCTTGGGGCTGCCTTACAGGGAGGTCTGTCAGGGAAACTGGGCTGATTCATGTGTTTCTGCATTACTTGGAGAATGGCTTGGGTGGCATCCTGGTCAGAATTGCAGATTGTACAAAGCTGCGGAGGGTGGCTAGTGCAGTGGGTGACAGAGTAAGGATCCAGAATGTCTAGACAGGCTAGACTAGGTCTAAAGGACCTCAAAGGCCTTCTAGTCTGACCCTGTCATTTTGTAGATAAGGAAGAAGCCCAGCAAGCTAAGAGATCTGCCCAAGGTCATCTAAACAGTACATTTCTTTTTTATTTTATTTTATTTTATTTTATTTTATTTTATTTTATTTTATTTTATTTTATTTTATTTTATTTTATTTTATGACAATTGGGGTTAAGTGACTTGCCCAGGGTCACACAGCTAGTTAAGTGTCATGTTTGGTCTGAGGCTGGATTTGAACTCAGGTCCTCCTGACTTCAGGGCCGGTGCTCTATCCACTGTGCCACCTAGCTGCCCCCGAAACAGCACGTTTCTTAGGCAGAATTTGAACCCATGTTCTCTCTCACTCTATGATACTCTTCATACTACCACACTGCCTCTCTGGAATATCCAGCCATATCTAATAGGGTACAGTTCAATAGGGATAAATGTAGACTGTTCTTCTTGGGTTAAAAAAAAAGTCAATCTCACAAATACAAAATGGGAGAAAGATGGTTGGACAATAGTGTGTGAAAAAGATCTAGGGGTTTTAGTGGATTGCAAGCTCAATCTGAGTCATCAGTAGGATGTGGCCACCAGCGAAGCTAGGGTGACTTTTGGCATCTTCAAAGCCAACTCTTCCTAGAATAAAGAGGGAGCAGTCTGTTTATACTCTGAGCAGGTCAAACAGCATCTCAGTCATTCAATCAATAAACATTTATGAAATGCCTACCGTGCACCAGGCTCTACAAAGTGCTCATGGTTCAAAAAGAGGCAAAATGCAGTCCCTGCCCTCAAGGAGCTTACAGTCTAACAAAGAAGCTCATATTATGGTCAGTTCTTGGCACAATAGGTTTAAGAATGACGCCAAGCATGGTGAAGGCCTTTGCTCTCATGCCATGTAAAGATCAGTTGAAGAAAAGAGACTTATTATTATCCTAGAGAAGACCTGGGACACTTGTGATCACCTTGTTCAAGTTCTTGAAAGACCTCATATAGAAAGTGAGAGAGTTGAGTAGTTCTGCTTCGCCCCAGAAGGCAGGACTGGGAGCTGCTGGCAGGCTATGTGGACACATTTGGGCTTAATGTAAGAAAAAACTCCCCCACAGCTAGCTAGCACTTGACAAGCCCAGTGGGTCTCTGCTCAAGCAAAGGCAAGATGGCTGCATGTCAGGACTGCCATGGTAGGAATTCTTGCTCAGGTTGGTTGGACTAGTTGCACTGAGGTCCCTTCCTATGCAGAGATTCGGTGATGTGATTGTGAGATTCTGTGATTCTGTGAGTGTGGCAGAGGGCGAGCCAACATCCTAACGTGGTCAGGGATGAAGCATCCTTGGAATGCTTCCCAAGGTGGTACAGGCACTCAGCACCTGGCCTCACGGTCCCCAGAAGCACTGAGATCTTCTGGCATATTTGACACTGTCCTGCCCAGGCCCTTTGGGGTCCCCAGATCATGCAGCTCCTGGTGCCTCTTAATCCCTTGGGTGGCCTCAATCTCCTTACAGTGCCTCTGACTCCCCAAGGAACAGAAACTGAATCTCAAATCCAGCAAGTCATTTACTTTTAAGGTATTCTCTTCCCCCCTCACTAATTTCTAAAATAACTTAAATTTTACATCTGTATGGAAATTCCTGGGTCCCAAAAGCCTGTTGATTTCATAATAACAGGGGGTTTACCAGATATGGCTAAATTTAAAGAGACAGCTGTTAAACCCCAGTAACTGCTTTATTGTAGCATATTGCTGGCAGATTTCCTCTTCCTCTTCTATAAAGAACACACAAGTTAATTTGAGCTCTGTTTTGGGTTTTTTTTAAAGCAGGAGACAAACTTAGAAATAACTTTTTGCTTACCCCAAAACAGCACATATGGATTTTTTTTTACTGATTATATTCATATGATAATTTTTTTTAAAAGTGTTCTAAAAACATAACAACTTCTGAATGATATTATATACTAAGCCCCTCAGGGGGAAGAGACAGCCAGGGATGATTGCAGTTGGCTGAGTCAGTGATGCTGCTGCAGCTGGTGGTGTCAGATTCTGACAAGGTTATTATTTTCTCCCCCTGCTCCCCTTAATTCCGTGATCTTGTTTTTGTTATATTTAAAGTTGTCAAGGTACATTCTCCAGAGGCCCCCACATCATCTTGACTGGCACTTTTAGCAAAGCAGTGATGTACTAATACCCCCTTAGTGGCATGGCTTTTGGCATTGCTGGGCCACGGTGGAGCTGGAGACTGGCCCATTCTTCTCTATGCCAGCTAATAAGAAATAGACCCCTATGCTGGAATTAGAGCTCATCAGAAATTTGCTTTTGAGAAGTAAGCATAAAAAGCTAATCATGATGTTTATAAAGTAGGTAAAATTGATTGAGCATATTTTATTGAGTTCTGTAATAATGAGTCTTAAACAACATGTATTTTTCAGGTCACTTCTTTACATCTGCTTTCAGAGTAGACACATATAGTTGGAAATTTAGTGTTATTACCCTTTTAGAAATCTCCCTTGAGAAAAGGCTCCTGGGTCAGGCCCCAGCAGCCGCAGCAGCCACAGGGCTCTCAAGGCCGGGCCCGGGAGGGAAGGGGCAGTGGAAGTCAGCTCTGCATACACAGGCAGTGCTCGACCCAGCCGAGGGCAGCAGAGCTCAGGGCACAGTGGTGGCAGTGGTCAGTACCGGCCCTGGTGAAAGGGGATGGACATTGATTGGCACAGCAGGTAGCATCAGCATAGGTCACAGACACAGGGGCAGTGGCAAAGACAGACCCACCAC